TTTTAAAATGGAAGAATTTGACATGAAATGTAAACACTGTTCAAATTTCATTATGTACTGTTTACTCCACAGATTATTTAGTCCATATATGAAAACTAAGCTGTAATAATAGCCCATTTAGAATTTGTATTTTTTTGTGAGGTTACAAAAAACAACTAATTCACACATATATCCTACAACAGTTTAGCCCACCCATTCATGCTGAAGTGTTTCAGCCCAGTTGGCTTTTCGGATGAGGCAAAATAGAGGGCAGCCAATCACAACAGAGCTCATTTAAATACAGATTATTCCACTGATCTGCATAATTTAGTCACTGAGATGTAAACAAAGTTATCCAGAGTGATGTGATGTGAAATGGTTCATTGTAGAGAAACGTACTGATTCAGATTTCTTCACAGTGGTGGTGATAGGAACCAGGAGTCATGATGTCCACAGCACAAATATAGCCATTTTATTTACTATCCAAAATCACCAGTGGGTCTACACATCTTCTGAGTTGGGGACTATTTTACCTCACAGCACCCTGTATGTACCTCTCCATCACAAAAAGCTCTTTAAAAATACATTTCAGGCCTAAACTGTCTCTCAAAAGAATTGAAAAATGAAGTCTCAGCCATAAGGCAGCGTATTTATAACAATTTCTTGTAATAACTTTATGTGAGGGAGCTTTTGGAGGCATTAAACTCTTCAGATGTCTGGTTCCTATCACCACCACTGTGAACAATTCTGAATCAGTTATTTTCTTTAGAATGGAGCATTTCACATCAAACAACTCAATGACTTTGCTTCATTGATTTACATAGGACTGGTGGAATTCAAATAGCCTGTTTAATTCTGAGAGATAAAGACAGATTGAAAAATGATCATGTCAAAATGAATCACGATTGTTTTTGGTAAATAAACCCACACACATATTATAAGTGGACCAAGAGAAAATGCAAGAAAAATGAAGGACATGGTCCTTTTAATATCCTTTATAATAGAAATCAGTGGGCTGCCCTTTGACTTCTGTTAAAAATATGTTTTGAATGTACTGGTTTTCTGACATTTCTTAACATGTCTTATTGTCTGTGATTATCAACCATACACTACATATGGGACAGATAGAAAATAGTTTAAACAGTGCTTAAGCGTTCTTTAAAGCAGGGCTACCCAACCAAATATGCAACCCTGCATATGTTTGTATATTCCTGCTCAAAAAATGCCCACTTAAGCTCAGGAAGGGTTTAATAATTAACTGCTAAGTTGGTGTTGGGAGCTGGGAAAACATAAAAATGTGCAGAGCAGAGGGGACTCCAGGACAAGGTTTGGGAACCACTGCTTTAAAAAAACCTTTAATAGAAATATATATTATGGCTTCATTCCAAAGAACGAAACTTGCATTACTCTTACTTATTACTATACTGTGCCCTTATAGGAGTGGTTCATGGGGGCTGGAGTTGCTGGTCCGCCTGGGGGTCTTGTTCTCAAGGTCATAAGTCAAGGACTCGCGCATGTAATAATCCTGTACCAAGAAATGGAGGCAAGCACTGTAATGGCCCACTGATCGAGCACAAAGCCTGTGAGGACCCAGATCTTGACCACTTAAGGTGTGACACTGAAGATGCCTAGCATGTCATTGCACACGTTGATTTAGCCTAATTAGTGTGCGTGACTTTTCAGATTTATGGAGCCCCACTGCTTTGATCCCTCTCAGACACCACCAAAGTCCTGCAAGGTTCCACCTCCCTTGCAAAATGGAATTGTTTTGGTGAGTTTCTTTTCTGATTACGTTAGATCAGATGTATAGTATATATACAGGCCTAAACAAGCTCTTGCTAATTACCCAACATCACCTCACTAACGTAACGTTTCTCTTTTATGTTTAGAATCCTAAAGATGTCTATCCAGTGGGAAGCAAGATAGAATATTCCTGCATTGAAGGATATCATGTTGTTGGGGACCCTCTTGCTGAATGTACAGCAGGCCTGGACTGGATGAAAAGACGAATAGTTTGCAAGAGTAAGTCATGAAAAGAGCAGTTAAATGGAAGGTTGGATGATGTTTGCTTTGACCGTTATCAACCCCTAATATATTTCAACAACGACCAGACATTATGGGCCAGAAACAAATTAGGCTCAAGTCTGGGTTAAAAAGGAAATTCAATGTTGAATCTGCTTCAGTATTGTAATTCAGACAAAGACCATGTTTAACCCATTCATACAAAATAAACTTCAAGAGTGCACCCCAATGTCTAGACAAACCCAAGTTCACATTCAATCTTAATGCTACTTGCTAGGATCCTCATGTGATGCTCCCAACTCTGCTGAGTCATATCATCGCCACACCGCTGAAACAGAGCTATCTAATAGGAGAGAGCGTGTCCCTGTCCTGCCCCAGTGGAATGCAGTTCCAAGGAGAGCCAGAGATCATCTGCCGTGCCAGCCTCAGCTGGTCTCCAGCACCAAACAACTTTAAATGCAACATAGGTAAAGATTTTGAAGCTTTTAGGTTGGCTTTCCACATCCACTACGTTAGAGGTCCATTACACAGCCAAGGTGAATATTCCTCCATCATTATTTACTGTGCTACTGTTTTGTTGCTGTCTTTCATGACATGCACCAGCTTTTACCTTTGAGTTTGAATATCAGCTTATGCTATGGTACCTTAAAGTGCCACTAGCTCAAGATTCTGCCCAACTCATACAGCAGAAGTACTCCATTCTGGTCCTGGAGGGACAGAACAGTCTGATTTCCCTGCTATAACACACCTACGGGGCTCCTGTGGATCATTAAAAAAGTGTTATAAACTATTAAAATATTAAGAGGTTAAATGTAAGGTCTTCATACATCTAAGAAAGTCTAATTTCTTCAAAATTACAGGGGTTAAATCCTAAGATGATGCCAAAACACTAGGTTGAAAAGAGTCATTGTGTATATTAAACTGATTCAGGATAGGCTGCCAACCACGAATGTCAAGGAATAAAGGACTAGAGGACATCAGAGCTAATAAAGTCTGAAGACTGACCAAAGATCATACAAAGATTGTGCAGTCTCAAAGCATTCATCTGTGTTTGATTTTCAGTCTATTTGAATAAAATATTAATACTTGAGTTGATATATGTAGCTGTGTGAATGGTAATAGTATTATTTTTCCTTTGCTGAGGTCTTAGAATTTGATTTTTAAAAAACAATGCTGAAATACTTCACTGGTAATCACTTAACTGGTAATTAATGAATTAGTTGAATTAGGTGTTTGAGCAGGACAGTCACTAAATTGTGCTGGAATCTAGCTCCATGATGACCCATGAACTAACCCTTGCTTGTAATCTAAGTCCATATATGTCCACCAAACTGATCTGAAATAACTACCAGACGTTACTGTTCTTGAAACGTATTCCACTGTTACTTATTCTGAATTGCGATTTTATGCCGTTATAGATACCATACTCATAATCAGAAATATATATTTGTTGTTCTTATTTGGTTTAACTGTAATGAAATGTGTCTTTCAGTGGTCCAGTCCCAACCAGATCTAGACTGTAAGCCATGGGAAAAACAAGGGGAGGGGCAATGTGTGTGCAAAATGGCATATGAATGCAAGTAAGTTGGGATCCCTTTATATGAGTAATAAATGTGTACATACAAAATGAAGTCTTCATTTAAAACTTTGACCTAATGTCTTGTTTTTCAGGCCCTCTTTTCAGGTGTGTGCCTCTGTGCGTCCTGGCCGGATGGACAGACTAGGCGTGTGCCAGCTCGGTGCCTTGCAGTGTCAGGGACGGACATTTTCTCTACTCCAGGACAGCTTATGTGAATGGCCAGAAACCAAATTTACATCCTGTCAGGACTGCCGTCCATGGGAGAAATGCACTGGTAGGACCTTTTAATATTTATTTATTTTAATATTTCTCTGTCATAATAATGAATATGGCAATGCACTGTTGATTTGCTGAATTCTCAATATGATAAACAGTAGGCTATGCACCATGAGGAAGCCAAGTTTATAGTATTTATTTTATTATATTAAATTCTGCCAATCAAATGAATTGTGCTAGGTATGTGCATGCTGAACTAAAGGCTGCTGTGTGTTTCCAGGGTCGGAGTGTAAATGTAAAGAAGCAGCGGAATGTTTAGAAGACTCCACCCACCTCTGTATCTCTGTGGAAAATGGCGACCCAATGCCCATGACAGAATGTGAGGCAGGGGCCCGGAGGTGCTCAGGAAAACAGATCAAAGTCATCAGTATTGGAAACTGTCCAGCGTGAGCTATTTCATTATAATGAAAAGCTTAACAACAACTTTTACAACATAGATACATATAGATACAAAACAAGAGTGCAGTTGTGTTTGTTCTGGACAACACAGGACTATAAACAGTCTTACGCAAAAGTTTGAACTCCCTGGTAAGTGAAAAGTTAATACGTCCTCTACAGGGAACAAGTGTAAATATGACCTTTTTCTGCAAATTTTAGTGCACAATTTATATTTTATAGTTCGAATATTGGAAAAAATAAAACATAAAATATAAAATGTGCCATAACTTTATGTTAAAATGATGTTGAATACAGCAAATAAACAGTAATTTTGTATTAAAATGTGCAGAAATGTGTTCTGGATATGTACTTATTGTCATTATCAAATGTCATTTGACCAGGGGTGCCCAAACTTTTAGACACAACTGTCCGTATATATGTTTATGACTGCAATAACTGTAAAAAAACATTTTGCTTTGTATTTTTGAAAATTGTGAATTGTGAATAGTGAATTTGTCACACCCAAACGACTGGACAAAGGGCTCTTTGAATTATATATTATATTATATTATATTATATTATATTATATTATATTATATTATATTATTTAGAAATAGTTATATTAGAATTATAGAACATTTATAATGAGTATGACTGTTAGTATTACGCTTTGACACTGAGGCTGCCAGTGAGATTGAGGGAACTTTAAAAAGGTACTTTGCCAAATTACCTGCCAATAACATCAGAAATAACTTCATACCACAAGTGTGTTCCACACATATATTTAGTTCAAAGTAATTAAAAGTACAATGTGTACAGTTCAAAATGGTTTGTGATATCCATGAAAGAGTGAGTTATACATGAACTTAGTAAAAATACTAGACCCTTCTGATTAGAAAACAGACATGTCTAACTAGAGTAAATGAAATTAGGAGCTCTTACATTCATCGTCACTAAGAACTTCAAACTCATAACCTTGGCACTTCATGGCAGCCATGCTGCACAAATTCATGGTCCGTTTGCGTTGTAGTCTCAGAATATTCAGACAGTACATGTGTTCCTCATTCTTTGCACAGTCTCTGGGATACTTGCACACACATGTAGTTGATTCTGGGGAGCAAAGAAAAGCACAGAAACCATTACATAGAACATACCAATGGGATATACCATTATAAAGTTTGTTAACTTTCAAGTTAAAAAGTCAGAATAAAAGTCAATACTCATTTTTCAAGGGAAAGCACACTTGAAGTTGAAGGCACACTCACAGGCAGCTATGTTTGCCAAAGGCTCTGCAAGTTTTTTTGCCAAATATTTTGTCAAGGACTTGCCTTTGTAAACCAAAATGCATAAACTTCAAAATCTGTGGATGTTTTTGGATATGAAGCAAGAGTGGAGCTTGATTTTCTCCTCTCTCTTATTAATGAAAACTATAAGTACTGTTATCTGGTGGCAGTTTTGGTGGTCTACCAGGCCTTGCATGGCTGTTTTCATCATTTATATTTTCATCATTTTTGAACTCCAGTTTTGCAAACTCTAGTTTTTTCACAAATTCTCTTTTGACTTCCCTCTTCTTTATACAAATGAATTATCTTAGATCTAAGATATCCTCTCAGAAATATCTCCTGATAAATAAATAACTTAATGTACTTAATAGCCGTTTTAAATGGAAATTTAATGAATGAAGGATGGTGTCTGACTTTTGCACAATACTGTACATAAGAGCACAAAGTTCATAAGAACAGGTGTACCTGAGCAGGTCTCCCACTCGTAACAGGTGTCTGATCCACAGGGCTCCTGCACAGAGCTTTTCTCAGACACACTGGCCCTGAATTTGGCCCAGTCCAGACTGGTCACATCACTTTTGCACAGCCCATCGTTCATGAAATGCAGCTTATCTCCATGGCAACGCCCAGCGTGAAAGGCACAGAAGGACATCATCATGGTGCTTCCTTTCACTGCATCCAAAACGCAGAAGTCCTCCTTATATGTCCTACAGAAGAAACACATGCATTATTTGTCACTATCCCCAAAAGACTGTGGACAAATAAACAGAGAACTTCAGGACCACACTACAATAAACCACTACAGGAAACAACACTGCCTACAGCATTTATAGCCGTTTAACATCGGGCTACGCCATGGTGAAATATGGAATGATGTAAGGTCTTGATGTTATTAATGAGCTCTCACCTGCAGTCCTCTCGAGGTATACAGACACACTTGGAGCCATCATGACGCTTTCCTTTACCACATTTGCTGTCTTGTACAAAAGGAACATCTGTTCAAATAAAAATGAAAGTCACATGATATGATATTGTCATTACAACAAGATAGCAACTTGTTTATTGCATGCTTTCTGATAAACAAGCAATGATCAGAAATACTGCTAATGCAAAATAAATACCATATGTTTACAGTACGTTTGGGAACCCCTGGTCAAATTATGCTCTGTTCATTGTCTAAGTGAAAACAAATGAATACATCCTCTACAGAGAGCACACCTCTGCATATTTTAATGCACAATCACTGTTATTTGCTGGATTGAACATACTGGGAAAAAGTAAAACATGGCCTGTGCAAAAGTTCCAGCAAATATATTTTATATTTTAAGTTTTAATTTTTCCAATATGTTCTTCACAACATGCCATATATAAGTTTGTCCCCTGTAGTTGTGTTAACTTATTTTCACTTTAAAAAATCAACAAAACATGTCATTTAACTGAGGGTATTCAAATTTCTGCATTTGACTGTATTGCAGCCTTTCAGTGAATTGGAACAGATGTGTCTGGGACTTGGACAGTGAACGTACCAGCTTTGCAGTATATATCATGAGGGATGGGTGGGTCCCAGGTCAGCGCACTGGTGCAAACGTAGAAGCGCGGCCCCACTGGGCTTCTGCCACTGCCAGAGCAGCTCAGCCTGATACTGGATCCGACATGGTACTCCACTTTGCCTGGGTTTATGATTATGTCCTCTGGAACTGTAGGTCTGGAACACATTCTCTCTGGACAGAAATGACAATAAGGCAGCACCTTCCTGAGCATTTCAATTAATGGTGTGGTATAATAGTAGAGTGATATTAAACAGGTGGCCATTGAATTTCTTTTCAGCCACTGATATTTGGATATGCTCACTAGTTTGTAGAGTGACACACATTAATAATATATATATATTTTTAAATTAAAAGTATTTTAACAAATTTGTCTAAGAACAGTATGTCAAGATAAAAGTGTTGTTGCTCTCGGAACCAAACCTCTCCAAAGTAGTAACTTTACCGGAGAAGGAAAAACATTCTTAACCTTTAATGTAAGTTAACGCAATGCCTATAACGTAAAAGGTAGCCAGCGTTTACAAGTTTCATAATAAAAAAGAAACTCTTGAACTCTCTAACCGATTGTCTTCTCTATCCAAATTGTTTACTGTGTTGTCATCAAAAAAGAATCTCTTGTAGATATTTAGTTGCATGTAGAGTGCTGAGCCTTGATCCTAGTCTTTTTGTCTTGTGTTATGTGTCAGCTACCCACAATGACACTATAACACTGTTACCCCAGAAGTTTCATACCAATTCACACTTTCAGTCTTGCAAACTTGATCTAAGTTTCATAACATGACAGGTATGAGTTTCATGACATCATCATTGATCGCATGAAACAAAGGGGTTAAATGTCAGGGAACACCCCTATCACTTCCTGATAAAGGTCTGTTAACATGTTAACATGTTGGGAAATATTTTAACTACTTCTCCATGCCCATGATAAAGGCCCAATAATCGCACAATGGGAATTTGTTTTTTAAAAGCCACTACCAAATAGATGAACACCCTTAGATGAGCCTTCAAGTCAAGTCACTTTAATTTACCACTACTAGGGCAGGGATCTGGATCTGAAGGCCAGAGTCTTCTACAGTTTGATGTTTTCTCCTTTCTAAAACTTCAATTAAACCAGGCAATTAACTGATTAGACAAATCAGGTGTGTTTGAGCGAGAAAAGCACCAAATTGTCCTCACCCCCACCCCTGCATTAGACAATTCAATGACCTGGATGACAGTGCACATTCATGAACAGTTTGAGATACGTACTGAAGCAGCGCCCCTTAGGTTCCTCCCAGGTGCCGTCCTTCTGACAGCGGATGAGCTGGTAGCCATCCAACTCGAAACCAGTGAAGCACACAAACTCTTCATGATCCCCATAATTATAATGCCTATTGTTGATCTAAAACAGGAGAAGGAGAAAACATAGAATGCAAATTTTGGAGGAAAACACTGACTGACAGAGTAAGCAGTTTGGAAAGAAGGAAGATACTACAGAGAGAGCTTAACTGAGAGCTTTAGAACTTAAGAAAGGTGGTATAGTCATGCTTCAGAACTTCATAACAAGTAGAGTAAAATCAGATCCAGAGTGAGGAGAGTGTGTGCGACCTCTTACCCTCAGGTAGCTGTTGGAAGGAGGTCTAGGTTTGGGACAGCCAGACACTCCCGGAGGCAATTCACTCTCACTGTCGCCCTCTGTTACAAAATCGTCATCGTTAATGCACACATTCTGCCTGTGTAAATACACAAAAAAGAAAATGAGAAGCACTGCCTTCATCTTTATGAAGGCAGAGGACAGAAAGAGCACTTTGTCTTCACCATATGCAAACCTGCAATCTCCATTTTTTCATTTTAATTTTATTTAATTATAATCATATCCAATCTCCATCTTCAACATCTATAAAGATATTCCGGACTTCCTCATTTGATCCTGGAACCACTTTAATAATATAACTTTTGTTGTTCGCCTTTTCACATATCTTTTTTATTGTAGCTCAATTTATAAACTCCAGTTATTTTTCCATTTATTCATGCTGTAAACATTACCTACCAAGTGGATAATTAGTAATCAGAGTAGAAAGTTTTTAGATGTGAAACACATCAAGGACTTGTCTTGTAACTCATCCAGTCGTTCACTCACTCACGTTTAGCAAGCTGTAGATTCTCCGCAAGGGGGAGCAATTGGCAGTCAATACCTGTTAATGCTTTGTAAGAGCAGTTCTTCACATCAATGATACTGTGTGCCATCAAGTCGATTCCAATTCCTAGTGGCTATATGGGTAGTGTTTACTTTTTATTTTGTCTTTTGTTTGGGTATTTTGTCTTCCTAATGGCTGGCTCATGATTTCTCTGATTGTTTCCATCCATGTTGTTGCTGGTCATCCTCTTCCTCTATTGCCTTCGACTGTTCTGAGCATTATTGTCTTTACCACTGAAGTGTTTTTTTCGTAATATGCTCAGAATAACAGAGCTTCAGTTTGGTTATCTGGGTTTTGAGTGAGAGATGAAGCTTGATTTGGTCACAGATCCATTTGTTTGCTTTCTTTGCTGTCCAAAGTATTCTCAAAAGACTTTGCCAGCACCAAAGTTCAAGGACACATATACTTTTTCTGTCCTGCATTTTGATTGTCTAGCTTTCACATCCACTAAGGGCCACAGAAAAGACCATAGCCTGGATAATTGTGATCTCTTTTTGTCGAGACATATCATTACATTTGGAGATCATTTAAAGCTCATTCATCCTTCTTCTGCCTGTGTCAGTCTATGCCATATTTCCTGATTGCTGGATCTTTTATTGTTAATAACAAATCCAAGAAGGCAGAAGCTGTCCACCACTTCTACATCTTCACCATCAATGATAAACTCAGAGGTTTTTCCTGTTGTCATGACCTTTGTTTTATTCAGACTGAGTCTCATTTTTTCCACTTTATTCTTTAACTTATCTCATAAGGGCCTTTAGGTCATCCTGATCTTATAAAGTTACTGCTTTTGCTATAGGCGGTTTTCTTCAGCAGTGACTTACTCTTGGAAAACAGAGATGGGGCACTCTTCCTCTTGGCGCTCGGGGCCCTGGCACGGCTTGCCTCCTCTCTGAGGAGCAGGGTTGTTGCAGGCACGTGTACGACGCCTCTTCAAGGAGGAGTCACAAGCACTCCAAGAGCTCCAGCAGTTCCAGTATCCATCAACTGCCTCTGAAGGAAGACAGGAAACCGCACACATCAGTGTATTATGAGGACATGGATATTTCTGTGACATAGTAAAATAATAGAATGAGAATAATAGAATAATAAGAATGAGCACATAAAGGAACCTGAAGTATAGTCCTTGGCTCGTTTCTCACAGTTGGTCCCGTAGGTCCCGGTCTGGCAGATACACAAACACTCTGTCCCTGCCAGGACAGGCCGGCCATTGTTTGGACAAGGGGCACACTTACAGGAGTCAAAGGTCGCCAGATACTCGGCCAGAGCCCTCTCCATGTGCCGTCTCTTAGTCACAGCACAGGGGAAACCCCGCACTAAATTCACCAGAGGAGCCAGCTGTGTGACACAATGGAGCAATAACCTTTAGCAAGTGATAGAAATCATGTTTACAATTTTTAGGATACTTTGAAGAATTCGACATTCTTTAAAGTACCTCTGAAGGTATAATTTAAATATTTAAACATAGGGGTGGAGTTAATCTATGTTGAATAATAAGTTGTTAAATTTTATTATATCACTTCTACACCCTTGAAACCAACAAGTGCATTTATACACTTTTATTTTCATAAAGATACTGAGATAAATGAATATACATAATTACGCAACTGTAAATGCCTCAATATTCCCCTACCACTGTACAACCCCCACCTAACTCGTACAGTAGTTAAAAAAGTGTTACATCAGGGCTGAATCTCAAATGGCTCCATACGCCCTATGTAGTGCACTGCGTAGATCAGGAAATAATTAAATGCCCAAGACATATATTTGAGATTCAGTCATAGGTGCCACATCTGAGTATAAAGGCCATATTTTACAATGTAGTGCACTATATATGGAGTAAATGGCCATCTAAGGTTCCGTCTATGCTATTACCTTTGCCGTTTTACCTGTTAGCTATTAGCTATTGGGGAATTAAAACTGTATACTGTAATGTATGTAGAAATGATGGAATCCAAAAAAGACACATCTGTTCACCAAAATCTAGCTAATTAGTTATCTTCTAATTAGCATATTTTAACATGCTGAAGCAGATTTGGTAATATCAAAAATGAACTTATAAACACTGGCCCATGCACTGACCATTTATATATGAAACCTCTGATTTTACTGAAATGTGTAAAATTGGTGCTTTGGTAACAATATTTATATATTGGAAACTAATACCTAGGTCAGTGTTTCCCAACCCTGGTCCCGGAGTAGCCCTGCATATTTCAGAGTTTCCCTTGCTCCCAACACACCTGATCCTATCAATCAACTCATTGACAAGCCCCTTCATGACTTGAAGTGGGCGTGCTGAGAGCAAATACAAAAATGTGTGGTAGCCCAGGACCAGGTTTGTTTGAAATGATGCCTAAATACTTGAGCATTTAAAGGGCCCACAGTCCACATTTTTCTTGCATTATATTTTCTCCCCTGGGATCCTCTTATGATGTTTTTGTGGTTTTATGTACCAAAAATTTATAATTAATTTTACATGATACTTTTCCAACCTTTCTTTGTTCCTTAAAATTAAACAGACTGTTTTTATTACTATGCCTTTAAGACTGATATAAGTAAATGAGCTCTGTTCTGACTGACTGCCAGGCATTGTTCCTCATTCTGAAACATTCCTTATAAATTCAGCGTTCAGCCACATGTAAACATAAGAAACTTGTGTGACCAGGTCCATTTTCATCACTGAGCATTACAAGATTGGTCTGCAAAGGCTAATCGGACAGATCTGAACACTTCTGACCTCATAATCTATGATTGTGGGATTGTCTATAGTAGATTTTATCCAGTCTTGGTACGCAGTGTTGTCTGGTGGGGCGCCACTCCGTTCCCAGGCCAGAGCTCCAGCGTACTCCGATCTTCCTCCCTTTACTATAGAGAGGGACTTCTCTGAGGTCTGGAGGAAGGATCCTGGAGAAGATCCAGAGAAAAGACAATAAGCATGCTAATGCATAACATCACTGTCATAAGAAAATCTCACATCTCCAAAGTAGTGATTTTATACTAGAAGGATAACAAATGTTCTTAATAAAACTTCTTAATGAAATTAGTCATTTTAAATCATTTCTATTAGTTTATTCCTCATGAAATGTTCTGAAAAGGTAAAAGGCATCTGGCATTTTCAAATAGTGTATAGAAAACGTGTAGCTCCTGCATAATGATAAGAAGATGTGAGAAGATATACTGCAAAGGTTACATTATTAATGTTGTCCCATTATTAAAAGATGAGGTATAGAACATGTTCACAGAGGCTTTGTCATTAATCATCTGACTATAATTAGATGACCTAATTACCATCATATGTAGTGGTCACCTTGTTGGTACCACATCCTCTGCTATGTGACGACGTGGCAAAAATGATGATGAAGAAGGAAAATTCTTGTCTGACGCAATGTTGAACCTGCTCCTCTGTCATACCTGAAAATGATATTCACAGTAAGCGCAGTATTAATGCCACTGACCAGTATAACAGCTAAACTACGCTCAAGATCTCAGTCATGCAAATCTTTTACGTACCCTTAGATTTCAGCTCCTCATGGCTATATTGGAAAAGCAGGTCATACTGTCCTCCCAGCGTACCCGAGACAAAATAGTGTGTCCCGAACAGCTGAAAGATCTGCCTATAGAGGGCATAGTTGTATTCCAGAGGAAGACTGTTGAGGAACTTCAGAAACTGAGCTGATAAATACAGGTCAGATGATTTTGTCCTGAAAGATGCTGTGGCTATAACCTGATGTGTCCTGAAATTCCTAGAGTCCTGCAGGATGGGATAGGAAAAAGGAAAAAAGACCTGTAGAACTATTTGGTTTTGCAGTAGGCTTGTCTTTGCCAGTAAAAACACAATATAACTTTCAAATAAAAACAAATAATCATACGTACATAATAAGCACACATACACACAACATAATGAGAACTTACTGGTTTCTAAACAAAATGGGTCGAAAGAATACAGTTAGAAAAAAAACAGGTTTGGTTCCTGACTTCTCTCTGCACTCCAGCTATCACATGGAACTGTTAATTCCATCTCCAGGACAATTTAATGTGAAGGATTGACTAGCTGAAGCAGATACTAGATGGTAACTATAAATACTGAGCTTCCGCAAGGACAGCCTTAGAAATGGGCTAAGACATTCACACACATTAAATCACAATGTATTGTTTACTTGTTTGTTTGTATTTATTCTAACAGGTGTTCACTTAATGGCTTTACATATCATTGTCTCTGAAGATTTTTGCACAGTGCTCTATATTGTGAGATACCCACAACTGTTAGAAACACACTTTCTTGCCTTTTGTTGAAATGCTTTCATCTCCTCTTTAAAGGATCTGGACGACTGAGCGCGCCTTACAAGACGGAAAAAGATGGGGATTCTGCGATAAAAGTCAGAAAGCTGAGGCGATTCATATTTTGAGCTTTCACTGCTCAAAGAGATCTGTTCACTTTTCACTGGTGGGTTTTCTTTAATATCCTCGATGTGCTCCACCTGCCGGGTCAGAATCAAATTTTAGTCATGATTACATTTATTCTAAAAAAAGGATTTTCACTTTGAGTCAAAGTCAAATCATCTCTGTCTCTGCTGCTGTGATGTAGCTGTGTGAGAGCAGTTACTGATTTTGGATAAAACCCTCACTTTGATCTCATAGTTCTCAATGTTGGCTGGAATCCGGTAGACCTTCCTGTTTGCTCTGCTGCGGTTTAGAGTGCATTCCTCCCCCATGTACGTGTTATCTAGAACAGCTCCCCTCATCTGCTCTGCAACAGCATCAAATCTGCAGTAGAAAAGACTTCATCAGATTTCATATAAGTTCATAAGTTAACAACAACAATAACAAGAACAACAATAATAATAACTTTACTTTTTAGAGTATGTTTCATATAGTTTGCAGCTCAAAGTTCTTCACAGATAGTGAAAGTTTAACAGAAGAAATTAAAATTGAATTTGATTTCCTTCTATTATACTTACTGGTCGGCAAAAGTAATATAACGGGAAAATTTTAAATGAAAGATAAAAAAATATGAATTTCAAATCATATGAAGCAATCACACAGACCAAATTAAACAGATAAGTATAAGAAAAGTTTAATTTTACTTAAAAGTTAAGTTAAAGAGCTTTGAAATCTGTCCTATAAGAAACAAGCAACCAGTGAATTTTTTTCAAGGGAAGATTCGAGGGAGGAAGATACGAGCTCTGTTTTGTTTATATTAGTATCTGTGCTGCTGTATTTTGTACGTGTTGTAGAGGATGGACTGTTTTCTTGGGAAGCTCAGTAAGTTACAGTGATCAACTCTGCTTGTAACAGATGCATATGCCAGTTTATTTGCGTCACTCTGAGATAGAAAAGGCCAAACTTCAGCAATATTTCTCAAACAATAAAGATCCCTTAGTGACTGCATTTACATGCAGAATGAAACAGAGCTCAGAGTCTAAGATTACACCTGCCTGGTTTGCCTAGTTTCTCACAAAGCAGCTTCCCCAAAATTTTAGTACCAGTTTCAGTTTTTTATTGATTTAGTTGTAGAACTGTTTGTGGAATCCACTGAGAAATATCTCACACACAACTGGTAAGACTTGATTTTCAGCAGGAATGAAAATGTATGACTGTGTGTCATCAGCATAGCTGGTTTCAGCTCTTTATACTGTTCCTACCTGATCACAGTATTACTTTGTAACATGATATTAACTGTGATTCTTACCCGTTACCGATCAGATCAGCACCAGGGAGGCCAGCAAACTGTCTGTCTGTCGCGCATACACGCTTGATAGCACCACAGTTCTTCTCGTCAGAGTTGTCCAAGCAGTCATTTTGACCGTTGCACTCAAGAACAGCTTTTATACATCTACCTGTAGACAAGAAGAAGATGGACTATTGCTCATGTAAAACACAGTCGTTCTTTTTGTTCAAATGACGTTTTGTTAATTTTCTAACAGAACGTAAGTTAACACATCCTCTACACAGGACATATTGTGAAAAAAAAAACATAAAAAAATTACATGGCACATTTTATGTTTAATTTGTTTCCAATATGTTGAACTCAGCAAATAAGACTTTTGTAGAAGGGTCTGACTGCAGTTTCACTCCAGCGGTTTCAGACCAATGGAACGCATGCACAATAGGACAGCGCGATTGTGTCATGTAAACAAAGTCCTTATAGGAAAGTTAAACGTTACAGGCGCTCCCATTCGTATTTCAATCACTGGCTGGTCTCCTCATTTATAATGTCTCTGATGTAAACAGCAACTGTGCTGGTTGTATGTGTCACCATGCATATTACCATTCGGGAAGGGATATTGTTGCCAATATACAAATCAATCACTGCTAACTGGTTGAACCATAAGCCAAAACACATTACAAAACCATCAGAAACAAAAAGAAACGCTTAATGGTGTCAATGGGTTTTTTTCAGGTGGGATACGTTCAAAAACTACAGTTTGTATTAGCCTAAAGCTTAATATTATGCTCAGTTTAAGCCTGCTTACAGTAGTGTTTTATTCCTGCACATGTAGGTCTAATGAATGCCTAGGTCTGAAAAAGTACAAGCACTTTGGGGTGGATACTTGAGGACCAGCTGTTTGATTTTTTTTTTTTACTGCCAGCTGGCTAATGCAAAAGGAAGCCATACAGTTTACGTTATGCCACATCTGGATGTATTACCCTCTACATCAGTGGTACATTAGCACACACACACACATTTTCTAAGCTGCGTATCCTTCTGGGTCACAGGTGGGGGGGGGTGTCTGGAGCCTATACCAATGGTCTTTGGGCGGAAGGCAGGATACACCCTGGACAGGTCGCTAGTCCATCACAGGGCAGACACACAGACATATACATTCACACTCACAATCACACCTAGGGGCAATTTAGCATGTCCAGTTGGCCTGACTGCATGTCTTTGGACTGTGGGAGGAAAGCGGAGTATCAGTGGTACATTAGCGAATATCTTTATCTTTTCTGAATGCTGAATCATTAGCCGGGTTTCCATTCGAACATTTCACAAATGTTATTTACAAAATTTTGGCAGGAAAAAATGCAAATTAAATAATGTTTCGACCGATGACAGTTATGCAAAGAAACCTGACGTAGGCTACCATGATTAGGGGCTACATCAAAACAAGCATGAGAGATGGAGGAATTTAACTCAGTTTTTTCTTTAAGTAGAATTATCTCCACAACCATTTGCCATTTTTTTATGATTGTTAGCATCTCAGAGACACTGGTCAGGATAAGCAATGGCCCACCTAATAAAGACTGAAATGTGCGTGCCACCACGACAAAGTCCACCTTGCATTTGGGAACATAAACGCACCAGACAATTCTGGAAGTACATTATGCAGAGCCGGTTTTAAAAGAGCTATGGATTCAGCATTTCAGAATGTCGAAGGCAACCTTTGAAAAGCTATGCTCCATGATAGAATAGAATTCAGAACCATTAGCCAACTGTGTTTGCGCACAGAGGGATTAGCCATATATGCAGTGAAACACCCACATACATGCACATACGTGAACACACACACTAGGGGGCAGTGAGCACGCTTTCCCAGAGTGGTGGGCAGCCCTATCCATGGCACCCAGGGAGTAGTTGGGGGTTAGGTGCCTTGCTCAAGGGCACTTCAGTCACGTGCTGTCGGCTGAGGGGATTGAACCGGTGACCTTCTGGTCACAAGGCTGGTTCCTTAACCTCCAGCCCACGCCCCAGGAACTGCACCATCTGTAGGGCCAATTGTTTCTCACTTACAGCTTGCTATGTCATCGTTTATTCATAAAAATCTTTTCCATCACCCTTTTTCACATTTTGGCTTTTGTGTTACTCTTTTCGGCTTCGACGTAAAATTTCTTTTTGTGATATTTGGGTGTTTTTTCGAATTTCGGGCATTTCCATTTAGTTTTGCACATTTTCAAAATCCATGCGTGCAAAGGGGAGTTGGATCCTGCCGAGGAGTCGTAATTGGGCACGATACGATCAGAAGAGAAAGAAGCATGTCAACTTACAGGGTAGAGTAATATTACAGGTTTTTGTTCAAGGAGGTTGCAAACTTTCAAAGTTTGTTTAATGTGAGATTGACAAAGACTGACCAAACTTTGTGATGTGAGAGGAATATTTCTTTGCATGCTAGCCTAAAAGGGGACCAAGATTTGGTGATTTTGACATCCGGAAAAACTACAAAACTCTGTGAGACAATGATGACACAAATAAGGTTACAGTCTACGTTTCAATGTATTTAAAAAAACAAAAAAAAACAAAACCAAACAAAAAAAACACTGGCAGGAATGTACACTGCTGTCGGATTTTGTCCAGTCTCTTGCTCAGTCACTTTCTCTTTTTCTCTTCCTCACTTCCTCAGACATTTTGTTTGGTCTCTTCACAGCCTTGCCATGATGTCCATGCTGGGAATACCAGGCTGCTTCTTATAGTTAGCTGAAGAACCATAGTTGCTGCTGCATGATGTGGTGCTGTAAAGCGTTACACAGTTCTCAGAGGGGTCTCGTGCCCACCCCTACAAAGTTACATAGCGCTAAAGGAGGTGTTCTGGGCCTGGAGTGGCAATGACAGAGACACCATTGTCGCTATTATACGTCAGGGTACCATGAAAAGGACTTTGTTAGTTTTAAGGCAACATTGTAACATAATGATGCTTTATGACTGATGTATGTAAATGACCTCTGTTTTGATTGGCTGCCCTATATTGTGCCCTGTTCAAAAAGCAGTCTGGGTTGAAACACTCCTTAGAACTTCAGCATGAATGAGTGGAGCTAAACTGCTGTAGGTTGAACAGGTGGATCTTTGTGAATGTGATGGTTTTTGTGACACAAAAATAGTGAATTCGAAACAGGCTGTTTTTGCAGCTTAATTTGCATCTATGGATTGTATGAAATGGGAAACGAATGGAATGTTTAGAAATTTTTACAATTCTACAGTGTAGAAATGTAACGTTCCACTCGCATTCTGGTCTGCATCAAACAGCTGAACTGGTCTGGCAAAACACGTGGGTCTCGGTCCGCTTCCAACCAATGCTTAATTGTTATAAACAGGTGGGCTTTGTGGTGGAAAAGGTTGAGAACCACTGTCATATAGGCAACTAGTGGCCTCTAAAAGTAACCATTAAGCCAATTCCCATTAGAAAACAGGAAGGAATAAACCTTGTCATATGGAGGGGAAATAACGTGTGAAACGTGTCAGCATTCGCCGCTGCCGACTGGAGGCCATTCGCGCTTTAAAGTTGGTGCTGTTCGCTACTGCTTTCAGTGGAACACTTTTCATGTCCCCCCTCAAAATGTCTACAGTAGCGCTACAGACCATGACTACACTGCATAACCCCCTGGTGGAATGTGTGCATGTTTATTCGCCCACTTTTTTTGCTATTAAGCTGTTTCAACATCTTCAGCTAAGATGGCTAATTCAGCTTTTTTGGTGATGGTTATTTTCACACATCCATAATTTGATCATTGTGCTGACATTATCATACTGTGATAGCTGTGAAGGAGTTCTTCCAAGAAGAATTTATATCCTACATCAGGTTGGACTCCCACAATGCTTTGTGTTTGGTGTTCTCCTACAATTCTGGACACATCCTCGAATTTCAGTCTTGGCAATTATGACAAAGATGAAAGTGCCACACTTTTCCTCAGTGAGCTGAAGCAAAAATCTCCAGCCCAAAGTTCACTTAAAAGCCGCCCACCAGAAGCTGAAATGTTATAATCTTCCACCATTACAGCAATTTAAAACTACATCAGTTTGGCGAAGAAAACAGCGCACCTGGCAACCCTGACAGCAGACGCATGCTGTACCAAACACTCCACCGCATAACCAATGAAAGAAACTCTACATAAACACATCAGAGGTGCCTGTGTGCTCTGTTTATTTTACACAAAGAATTCTGTAGATCCTAAAACTCACATATGAATGGAAAGAAAATATTGATATGATATGTTACGATATCATATTGTCATATTATGTTACGATACGATAATTGATATGTGGTTGAAATAATGTCAGTTGTTGTTTCAACGTTGAAAAAACATTGAAAAAAACTTTAATGTTAAATGGATGTGAAAAAGCTTAGCAAAATACAACTAAATCATCTCTGAAACTTCGAATCAACATAATGACTTAAACATTCTGCCTTATAAATTTGATCATTGTTATTATTATTATTAGCTTTTTAAAATTTTGATCATTTCAAAAATCACTTCAAAAATCTAAATGTATATGTTAAAAATAGAAAACAACAGCACCAATAATAGTAACTAGAAAGTGAAGCTTGTGAAGAAACTTGGCTTGCCGCCCACTGTAACAGCATGAAAACTATGTTAACTGACAATCTGTACCCATATTGAGGCCCCCGAGTCCACCTGTATTGAGGCGGGCCAGGTGAGCGACCAATGTTCAACTGTAGGTATACATACCTAGATGCCACGTTGTCTGTTGTTCTCTATCTGAGGCGATACGCCTGCACGTCCACCATGTTGGAACGGTCATGAGTCCTCAGGATTCAATCGACCACAACGTCCTTATTACTCAACCGATTTTCACCAAATTTGTTTTGTTATAATCCTCAGACATACATTAATCTAGGGTTGCACGGGCGGCTCTCAGTAGCTTTTATTTCCTGAATAACGATTGTACTAATTAGCCGTCCACACCAGCACAAAAGTATTCGGTCCACACCCGACGTTAAAAAACGAGTTTTGCGTGAGCTCATAATCTCACACACATCAGCAAATCCATCTGTGTGTCATTCACTTCTAATGTTAATACACATAAAAGTAAAATAAACCCCCCAAAACACAGTAGGAAGGACGAAGCTATTCGCCAGCTTCTTGTTTGAGATTTCCTGTTCCACTTTAAATGGTGCAGCAGTCACTTTTTTGGTGCCTGAAGCAGCACCCTTTAAGGTAGAACAGGAAAATCGAACAAGGAGGTTCGTGTAAGAAGGTGCTAACGTTAATCTATATGATTATCTACACAGATTAAGGAATGGTTATAACTTACCTAGCTACAAAGTATTAACCATCATTGTAACTAAATAACTACTACATCATTAAGATGCCATGAATAGACCATTAAATGAAATAGCCTTAATATAAAAACAGAGGAAAAACAATCTGTGCCTGACTGACCACACGGCCACTCCTACACATAAACATCATACAAACTATACCCATCACAGAAACATGAGTGTGGATCCCTGTGTTCCCTCTGTTATATAGCCCTATCCCACTTGGATTGGAATATTCTTGAAATAATATAAGCTTGGACAGTATCTTTCTTAAACTGCTGCTCTGTAATGGTACTTAATGCAGTCCAGCAGTGATGTTGACCGCCTCAATATGGCGGCGCCATTGACGTGCCTGGCTGGACCCAACGCGGCATCCTAGCTATGTATATCTATGCGTTCAACTGAGCAGCAACAGCGTTTAGAGCTGCTTCTGGAAACTTCGGAAGGCTTCAAAACGCATTTGGTGAGGATTAGCTAGATTGGTGGACCAGATAACTTGCATTTCTGTAGAGTTCAGAACATTCCAGTGTGTGATATTTTATAAAAACTAATAGAAGTGGCTACCAAAGCTGCCAAAGTTCATAAATAATAAACTCATGCATATATATTTAGCGCAAGTTAGTTTCTTACTCACCAGTTTCTCATTTGAATTATCTGTTCCACCTTAAATGTTGCTGCAGTTAGACTGAGATGCCTCAAATGTAGAACAAACCACACACTTCTGTAGTTCGCCTACTACATTAATGAGTGCACTTCTAATGGTTTATGCGTTATTTTTGTATACTATTTAGTGTGCTAGTATGCGGTTTGGAACACGAAAATAATATCCCAGCGGGACATGTCAGCCTTTCAGATTATAGCTTTCTTTTGTCATCAGTACAACCATAAATCGAATGAAATCAAGTCAGTACACTCAAATGCTACACTAGGTGAACTCAAAGTTCACAACCAAAGGACAGTTGGTGGCCAAGGAGGCGTGCCTGGTGTCGCAGATGGAGAAACTCAGTGCTGACCTCAAGATAAAGGACTGGCAGTTGGACCAAGCCAGAAAGATGGAAGAAGCATCCAGAAAGAGAGCTAAAAGGCTGAAGGACAGAGAGATTTTTGAGGAAGAAAGAATGATGGAGGGAGGAGCCCAAAGAGCCATCAAAAAACTCTGGATGGAGAAGATGAGAAAAGCTGCTGAGTTGCTGGACAAAGAACATCTAGAAGCCCAGATGAAGAAGCGCATCCAGCAGCTCTTAGAGGCAAATGAGCAGCTACAGGAGCTCCTGATGAAACATGGAGAGATTGAGGAGATGAGACAGAAGTGGGAAGAAGAAAAGAAGAAGGAGGAGAAGATCTGGGAGATGTCAGAGGAGGTCAACATCCAGTACAAGGCCATGATGAAGCAGAAGATGGAGGAGCTGGAGTGCGAGCAGGAACTGATAAGAGATCCGGTAGCTGCGGTTAAGGAGAGTGACAGGATCCTATCAGTGGTTCCTCTGGTGGTCATTCAGAAACACAGGCTGAAGCAGGAGCTGCAGAAACACGTGAGCCGAATCCCGAGTGAGAACATGAGCAAGAAAGAAAGACGAGAATGGAAGAAGATCCAGAAAAAGAAGGCCAAAGAGCTCAAAAGACACAAGAGTGGAGAGCAGAGAGAAGATGAGCTTCTGGAAAAGACTTTGGTGTTGTAAAAGGTGAGAGTGAAGAGCAAGAACGTATGCTTTTCATCAAAAACATCAATAAACAACATCAATAAACACTTCCATTTGTCTATGTATGTTTGTTAAAGTTATAATAGGCCAACAATACTACACTATAAAACAACAAATAACTATAAACAGAAGAAACAGAATCCTAAAAAAACAGTAACATGTAATCTGGTCACTTATTCCTTTTTATTTATTTTCTTCCAATATTTATTTAATGTTTTTATGTGCAGAAGTTTTCGTTCGAAAGGAAAGCAACAAAACCTCACTTGGTCAGGGGCACACAAACCTTTGCATATGAGTGTATGTGTTCTGTTGTGTTTTGGGTTTGAGAGATTACAGGAATAGTCAGATGTAGGGCTGCAACGATTGAATAATTTGAGTAAAAAAAATCTAATAATTTTCAATCTAATATTATCTTTAATATTCAGATATTTTATAGCATAAAAAAGATGACTTTACTCACTGAGTAGAAAAATGTTTTAAATGTCAAAATCATTGGATCACATAATTTTTAAACACTTTAAACACTATTCTTGAAGGTTACTATTTTTCATTTTTTTTACAGTGGCCCTTAAATGCTGTTGTATAAAACATCTTGGAGCAAGACTTATTATGACAAACAAAGCACCATAAAACCCAGCGAGCATCGTGTGTGCACCATGCTCCCTGACTGGAAACAGCATCATGTCTCCAGCTCGGCTTTCAGAAAGTTTTAAAATGGAGGACGAAATCGAATGGAAAAAAAGTTCAGTTCAGTTTTTTCCTGGGAAAAAAGCATTAAATGTTTGTTTCATGATTTTGTTTTGGTCTAGCAAGACACTTTTTCAGTTTATCATTCATTATTCATCAGTTTACCAGTTTTCTACTACCTGTAATGTTCATAGCAACCTGCTAGCCTCTTAGCTAACCAGTTGCATTTGTCCCTTGACTTTACTTATATGCTTTAATGTTAACATTTGCCACTATACCTTCCTATACTACCTATGGAATATTTCTCATTATGAGATTGTTGTGAGCATTATAAGATTATTGAACTTATTTCTAGATTTCATACATGTTTCAAGTAATTTTCTATAAAGAAATGTTTATTCTATGGACAGATAATTTTGCTTATTTCAAGACACAATGCAGAAAATTGGCTTACTTAAGAAATTAGGCTTAAAACAAGCAACTAAATCTGCCAACAGAATAAGAGAACAAAAATGTCTGGAAATGAGTTCAATAATCTTATAATAATCTCAAAATACATAATAATAGATATATTGACGTTAAGAAAGTTATCACTTTGTACAGGGTTTTGTTAAACAGCAATGACATTTAGAATACATACTGCTATACATAATGTACACAAAGACAGAAAAAGGTACCACTGTCACAGGTGAACTTCTCCTTGCAGTTGACTGGCTCAATTTGGCATTTCTTAGCTGTATGACAGGGTCTTTCCTCCATCAGAGATTCACTACAGTCCTGTCCACCAAACTGAGCCGGCCTGAGGACAGACCTGATCCTGAACTGTTGGAGAGGTAAAATTAGAAAATTAACATAATTAATTTATTTTGAGAGAGAGAGAGAGAGAGAGAGAGAAACAGAGAGAGAGATGGAGAGAATGCATGGACAGTCAATATTACTCACCATTTTTTTGGCACAAGGTGAGCACTCTGACCACGGTCCAAAGTCAGTTAATTGGCAGTGTATGGGACACGCCTCTACAGCACATGCCCTGCTCTCATGTGTCTGACACAGACGGGCACAATTGTTCTTGATCCAGTGGTCATCATACCGTACACTTCTGCAAAATATTCAAAAGAAACGAATGGAGGGGAGAGCAGGGATGGTAGTAGCACCTTTTGTCTAAACCTCTAAAACTTGGCTCTTGTTTGTGCTTTACCTTTTAGACTTTTATATAAGATATTTGTCTGTTCTAATAACAAAAATAACAAAAATGTAGAATTCTACTGCTTACTAATCAAACAAGAAAATGTGTGTCCAATACAATAAGTATGGGGGGTAGGTTGTAACAACAGGTGCAGTGTAAAAGAATTTAAAGGATTTTTCTTAAATTCAAAGCAGAAAAGAAACAGAAAAAAACACTAATATTGAAATTATAAATGCACACCAAAATATTTTAAACACAACATGTTGTGTGTTAGTTTCAGAGAGAAGGAAGCTGCAGAGGATGTAGGTCAAGGTGAGCCTATTGTTCTTAATTCAGTCTCCCCACATTACACCGTGTTACAATTCAGCCCGTCATGACATTGCTAGACTTTTTTAGCATGTACAGTCGTATGGAACTCTTCAAACTTTGTGCTAACATTCAACAACAGGCTCCTCTAAGCAGCTGGCTGAGGATCTGAAAATGAAGCTAACTGATGCCTATAAAGTAGAGGAGGCTATGAAAAGAAATAAAGGTGCCTCCAGTTTGCAATTACCACTGCCCAAAATGCCATTAGGAAATGGCGCTTTAGGAGAACTGTGAAAGTCAGGGAGAGATCTGAAAAACCAAGAAAACTCTTAGATAGAGCTGTTCAAATTCAGAAAGACAAAGCAAAACCACCATAACACAGCAAAAGACCTACCGGAGGGTTTAGCTGACACAGGAGTGGTGATGCACCAATCCACTGTGCAGCATTGCTTGCTAAACATAATCTGCATGGAAAAGTCATCAGAAGGACGCCTTACTTTGTGACCGCTTAACAAAAGTCAACGTCTGAAGTATGCAAAACAACATCTAGATAAGCCAGAGGCATTTTGGAAATAAGTGTTCTGGACTGATGAAGTAAAAATGCAATTCTTTGGCCACAGTCACCAAAGGTATGTTTGGAGAAAAAAAAACAGCATTTGATGAAAAAGAACAGCTTGCCAACTGTTAAGCATGGGGTAGATCTATTATACTATGGAGTTGTGTTATGTACCAGTCAGAGGCAGAGATGGAGGAACATTAGATGGAAGAATTCAAATTCTGGAAGCAAATGTGTCAGTCAGTCAAGAAACTGAAGTTGAAAATAGGCAGTTTTCTACAACAGGGCAATAATCCATAACACACCTCAAAATTCACGATGAACTACTTCAAGAAATGCAAGCTTGAACCCTTGAACATCAATCTGTGGGTAGATCTATGCCGTACATGAAAGACCTAAGAGTATTGCAAATTTAGAAGTGTTTTGGAAGAAATAGTGGGTGAAAATTACTAAAACGAGATTAGAAAGATTCCAGGCCAGCTACAAAAAGCATTTGCAAGCTGTGATATCTTTCAGGGGGGAGTATTGACTCACTGATCTCTGACTGGTGAAACTAGGGGTGGTACAGACTACCCTATGTTACAAACCTCACTGCTCTCCTTTACTGTACACACATAATATTTTACTTAACGAGAATAAATACAATGGCAGTCTGCCAAAGTGATCAACATGACAACTATGTACAAGTATAATGCTCTCACCTTGTACGTTGTTGCGTCCCCTGCCCACAGGTTTTGGTGCAGTAGGACCATGAGCTCCATGGGTAGTGATCACAGAAGCAGCCTGAAGTGGCTGTTACTGAGGCCAAGATGAAGAGTAAGATGAGAAGGAAGCCAGCGTGATCCATAGGCAGGCAGTTTGCGCTGGGGCTAAAAACTCTGAAGAAGAGAAAAGCGTGTTTTCACTTTTATTCCACCATCTAACCACTCAGGTCTTTCTACAGTGTCACTCGCAGTAGCTCTTTTTGTTCTATTCTCAAGTAAGTAGGATTAACATGACAGGACAAATATTTCTGTCCTAGAATTTTAGTCCTTCTTCCTCTAAGACATCTAAGTTGTTTCTCCATAATAGGAGAGCAAAAGAACTAGGATAGATTAACTTAACTAATTCATGCTTATGTTCCGCTTGGGGTCCCTGAGACCCTAGAGCCTCTTTAAAAGCTCACAAAATATATTTACCATTTTTTAATATTGGTATTGAGTTCCAAACACCCTCTAGATAAATGTATACACAACTTCTGTTTCAGCTAGAATACATTATTAAAGGCAATAGATTTTCATATGTATTTAGTTTCTGTCTGGTGTTAGGGGTACAGCTGACTCTCTCTCACACACACACACACACACACTCATAGATACACAAACACATACACACACAATATACTTTTTCTAATCTGTAAAGAAATTTAAATATATGTTCATAATAAATCGTTATGGTAATTTACATATTTCTTCACCTTCCTGAAAGCCCAATTTGTTGTTAGAAAGAGGGTGAAAAACACACTTATTTCCAGTGTACTGAGTTAAATATTTGAAATTTAAAATTTGGTATATTTGGAGCAAAAATGGTTCATTTTACACACAATGTGATTTTATTTTGCCCTCACAACACTGGGGTCTCTGGGACCCCAAACAACAAGGTAGTGAAGTCAGTGTCAACAGAACACATGAGTTAAATTAACCTGAGTATGCATGACTGTTTCCTCACAGTCTACATTTGAGATTCTTCGCTAACTTTGTGAAATATCTCTGGATTCTGACTTCATTCCCCTTTTCAGGAAGTGAAATGTGAGCTCTATATTGGGGTATAAACTGGAGGACTGATTGTGTAGATCCAAAACATTCCACTATCTCCTGTGTATTAGGCTTAGATCTTAATTTTTTATCATCATCCAATCAATATAGAGAATGTCTGTAGATCTAACATTTACATCCAATTAATACATACAGTTAATATTCTTGCTGCTTGTTTTTTGTCATGCTTATAACAAGTTTGCATTTTTGTTTGTTTATTTTTTGTCAATATCAAATTAACTGTCAGTTGGAGATCAGCATTCGGTTAACGTCTGTTAACACACTGCCGTGACAGAATTCACCAAAGATGACATGTAAGATCCCTGTTAGAGGTCAGTCATTGTATTTATACATCATAAGGAGATAAAATACATCTGCAAGTAGTAAATATAGTTCTTTTTGTGGTGGATCTCTGACCCAGACACACTGGCAAAGTAGTACTTAGCATAAATAAGACTGATAAATTATATGGGAACGTTTGACCCTATAATCTAGTATTTCTGATGGAAAAGTAACATCTTACAATTTCAGCATCATAATCCACTTGAACTCTTCTGTAAATGAGAGTTACTAAGCTATGTAAGCTGTTGGTGGTTTCAGTAATAATGTTTTAGGGGTTTTTAGAAAAGTCAATGTCATGACATAGCATTAGACACATCATGTCAGAATTATAACATGAATAATCAAACAAAACCATGAAGAACACAGAATTATCTGCTTCCGCACATTAACCAGCACAGAAGGGCAACTATATAGCAGCACCGTGAAAACCACTGCTATCATAATAAGATTTATATATGTTTAATAAAGGTAACTTGATTTACTTAAATAATTACTAAACTTTCTACTACTATTATTATTAGTAGTAGTAGTAGTAGTAGTAGTAGTAGTAGTAGTAGTAGTAGTAATTGTATTATTATTTTTAGTAGTAGTAGTAGTAGTAGTAGTATCTGTATTATTACTTTTAGTAGTAGTAGTAGTAATAATAACTATGATTATTTTTGTAATTGTTATTAGCCGTACTAGTAGTCTGAGAGAAATAATGTCTATTGACAGAATGCAGATGATAAAATTTGGGGTTCCACGAGACACTGCAGGCTGGTTGATTAAAACGTTATGCCACCTAACATTAAGTAGTTTTATTTATTTATTTATTTATTTTTGCATACATATGTATCCTGCATCATAGACATTTGCATCCAGTGGTGGTCCAGCAAAACTGTCTAGCCTTGTTTCACAGCTCTAGTCATTTTCCCGTTCAGAATTGCAATTGTTTTCCTTGGTCTACTCGGTTCTTTCCCATTGTTCTGCTTACATACAGTCAAATGCAAAAGTCTACATATCTACTGTCAAGTTCCATGTTTTGTTGATTTTCTATGTAAAAATACATCAATACATCTTCTACAGGGAACAAACTTGAATATGGCATTAAACCACAAATTTTAGTGCACAACTTCAATGTATTCACCGAATTTAACATGTTGGAAAACATAAAACGTAAAATAATAACATATACATCAAATATAAAATGTTTCATAACTTGTTCACAAGCCACATTTCATATTTTATTGTTTCAAATATGTTCAATTCAGGAAAATAAACAGGAAATAAGCATGACAATGTGTAGAAGTGTGTTCTCTGTAGAGGAAGTAAACTTATTTTCACAAAATCAACAAAACATGAATGTTGACCAATATTTTCTCAAATGTCTAGTCACAGGTGCTGACTTAACTGCTGTCAGGATTTTATAAGTTGAGTAGTGTCTATTTATTATAAATGAATATACATTACACTCCCACTATGTCTGCTGTTTCTGCCGAATATCACTTTAAAAATTCAGCCCTGTTCTATATAGAACCATAAACATTTAAAAGAACCATGTGAGTGCTAAATGGTTCTTTTCATGGTCAAATGTATCTTTTCTATGAAAAAAAAACACTTGTAAATGGTTCTGTATAGCACCAGAAAGTGTTCTACTATTGTTAAGAGTCAAAGAACCCTTTTTGCTAAGAGTGTAGACAATCCAAGACAGCATCATATACTGCATAATAGTGATCATACATAATGATTTACTCACCATGCAGTGCCGGTCACAACACAACTCCTCTCAATCGTGGGCTCAGCAACCCCAGAGAAGAGATTTGTATATCCACTGTGTAAAACAGGCTTTCTATTCTTCCACATTAATAAATGAGTAATGTTGATGCAAACTTTTCCGTAGTTCTTTTTAATATGTCTCCCGATACAGAAGCCTCTGCTAAATGGCCTTATATATACTTTTTGTGGGAGAATTGTTTCTGTACTTAAACAATAACCAGAAGCAGGCTGGAGTTAAAGACTAATTTCACACCAGCTCAGTCACAGTCTCCCTCTTATTCAACTCCCTTGTATCTCTCTTCCCCCCTTCCATCAGGACGGCCCCCAGATTCCAGTAAATCCAACAGCTGGAAGACCTCCTGAAGTCTCTTTTCTGGCTGATCTCTGACATTTGACCCTCAGTTTGGGAAAGGAGTAATGAAGGGGGAGTACAGACCCTTGATAACAAAGTGTTCCCTGCAAATTTTTACTCTGGTAGGAGTCAACATTCTCCACATTCTTACATCTGTTCAAAGATTGCATGTATTGCTTTTAATTGGTTTAATTTTTTTAAAGCACTGAAGTTTGAAATTATGAAAATATCCAAACTGCAACACATGCCTAAGCAGACGTGTTTAAGACATACTTCAGTGCCAGTAAGAAGATAAATTTTAAACAGTGCCTGAATATATGAATAGTGACTGTTAGTAATATTGCATTTAAATCTCATGCTAATAACGTAAACATATTAAAGGGAGTTAACCGAGATCCGAGGAGTTCGATTCAAAATAAAAAAAGACACAGTAAGCTACATTAAATATTCTTCAAATTTTGATATTTGTGTAACGTGATATTCTATCCGGTTAACCGCGGAGAGGGAAAAAACTATGTAGAAATGAATGTAATGCTGTGGCTTACCTTTAGGTGACAGCGCTGGTTTTGCACAAAGATTTAGCATCATGCAGAGCATCTTGTTTTGTTTCAAAACAAGTCTGAGAATGCAACTGATTTTTCAACTTTTTTTCATAATTCAGTGGTTGAGATGTAAATAAAGTCATTCAGATTGGTTTGATGTGAAAAGGTTCACTTGTAGAGAATCTTACTGACTGAGATTTCTTTACAGTGGTGGCGATAGGAACCAGGGGTCCCGATGTCTACAATGTAATTATAGCAACTTCATTTACTAAAAAAACACCAGTGAATCTACATGTTTCTTCTAAGTTTTTATTCGTAATGTTGATTATGGCAAAATAGTGGTCAATCTGAAAAAATAAGATTTCTTTGAGGACTACTTTGCCTTACAACACCCTTCTTGTATCCTGCCGCCACGAATGGATTAAAATAAATTGTTTAAAATACATTTAGACCAAAACTTTATCACAAAACTACTGTATTGAAAAATACTGGCCCATATCGTGGAAAACTAAGAAGTCTCCCAGTTTAGCCCCACCCATTCACGCTGAAATTATAAGGAGTGTTTCAACCTGGACTGCTTTTTGAAAGGCAGCCTATCAGGGATAAAGAAGACAAAAATGAAAAATGGTCATATCAAAATTAATTATGACTGTTTTGGTACACATAAACATTAATAAAATACAAGAAAATGTGGGATATGGGCCATGTAAAGCAGGGCAAGCACTAAACTGTGCCGGGGTCGTCCAGGACCAGGGTTGGGAAACGCTGCAACAGACCACCATTTAATTTATGACTATATCTGTCAAGGAATGTTATGATTGGAAAGCACTACTGCTAAAGTTTGGACATGCACTCAGAGTACATTACGCAATCAGGGAATTTACACTTATGCTGACACTTAAAAAAGGTGATAACACTTAATTTAAAAAAAGTTTATTGTCATTATAAAATGGCCTTTACATTATGGGTTTTTGACTCTATGCATACCTAAGATACTGGACACCAGAAGCAATACCCATGCTGCAAACTTTCAGAAACAAATGAATAAATAAATAAAATAGAACCAAACATTTAAAAAATAATAATGCATAAAAATACACACAGGGATCACACAAAGCTGAAAAAAATGAATGAGCAAAACACCCAGAGAACAAGACACAGTTAATCATCCTAAACATGAGCTTTTGATTACATAGAACTGTATTATGTACATTAATCTATTTTTGACTGTCTTCATGTAAAGAATGAAGAAGTAATGGCTTTAGTGCAGAGCAGTCTTGTGCCCTATAATGAATAATATAGTTTTCCAAACGTTCTTTACCTTTTATGGAAGACTAAATAATAAGCATTGCACAGTGACCAAACTAAAGAGAATAATGGAATCTATACTGAACACCATCCTGTATGTGCTCACACTCGCTTTTCAACCCCCTGTCTGGTAAAAAAGCATCAGCCAAATACAGATTAGAAAGGAAATTGTGTATATCTTGTGTATATTGTATATACTGTGGATATATTATGTATATCTTGTTCAATCTTTTTTTTCTCTACATACAATCATATGGTTACCACAGCAAATGACAGAAAAAATGACAATCAAGAAACCAAAATCCTTTTGTATATTTGACAGAAGCCATAGACAACTTTGGAGAACATTTCAGTCTCTCCACTGGCTCTGCAGATGGATAGTTAGGGCGGTGTTGTGTTTGTACTCACTAGCGATGAATGATGTCTGTAAAAATGGCCGTGACGGAGTTAGATTTACTCAACTGCCGTTCCACATTTACAGTGAATGAGAGACAAGTGGAGAGAAGCAAAGATTGTAGCTGGTTCAGCCTGACACGAGGCAGCAAAGCCCAGAGAAACGCCTCTTCCTCTGCCTCACCAGCGGGTACGGAGTCAGATTCAGCAGACTGCTGTCATCTGCACACAAAGAAAAGAGCCATATGACTGGAACAAACTGTATAAAGTTAAACTACCATTATAAATAGGTACATCAATGTAGCTGTGAAGGAAACACACATATCAGTGCATATGACAAACCTTGATTCTTCAATGGCAAAGGCATGGTCTCCCTGAGTTTGCTTAGCAGATTTCGCATCTCTCGCATGTCACTAGAAGCCACGGGAAAAAAAAAAATGACACACAGTGTCATTACTGTGAAGCACCACTCTTACGAAGCATCAAAATCTACTTGAGTGCTAATAACACCCCCTTGTGGAGAATCTTCCCCCTGCTAAACGTGAATGTGACTGTGTTACAAGCCAAGTCAATGACATCTAGTAATTCAGAACTTCATGATGCAAAATGTAGAAATAAGCCAGAAATGTACATCTTGTTATGGCATATTAATTCAAATAAAAAGAGAGGCTAACATTACTAACAGTGCATGGAAACTAGTAGCCATCACATGCACTCTTAGAAATAAAAGTCACTAATTGGTTCTTGGATTTGTGCTTTAAGGTAAACTTTTTTAGGGAACCAAAAATTGTTCTTCTTTGACTCTAGAGAGCCCTTTTTGACACTTTTATTTTTAGGAATGGAGCATGACAGCATTTGCATTACAGTTGTGCATTCTGACTAACTTTTGATATTCTAATATCCATAAGAATTAATAAAAGGAAACTACATCTAACCAGTACAACACTGTATGCTGATGGAGACGCGTTGTCTTCTAGGGGTGGTTTTTCCTCTTTGGTGGACAATGGCTGATGTTAGTTTGTCAGAGAAGTATATTTTAACCTAACAATACTGTTGCTGGACCTATCATCAGCCTAGCCTATTTAGTGTTCTATCTTTGTCTTCTCCAACATGTCCTGGACTCCTGAGGGACTCCTGTTTCAGAGTGGTAATATAAAATACTTACATGCAAATATGTGCAAAACTTTCACATTTTACAGTTTTGTCAAAAAATATAAATCAGCATTTTAGTGAATTGTTGGTCTGTATATTTACTGCTTCTTTCTGTGATACAATGAAGCCAAAACCCAATTACTGATTTCAGTATTTAAAATACTGACACCTTGAACGGTTAACTGAGTACTCAAGTACCCATACACGTGCAAGAGATTTGCGTTTTCCCTCTTTGAACACTCTGAAATCAACTTGCGAAGGCCTTGCTAATTACCTGATGAGTTGAATCAGGTGTGTGTGGGGTTTTCCTCCTTTGTTTTAAAAAAAATCCCTGCACATAAGCACTGTTTTTTAAAAAAATTCCATCCACATGGACATGCAAAAACCCGCTATCAATGTGCGGTTGCAGCAGCTCACTCAACGACATCAGCGATGCCTTAGACAAACGAAAATTCTCTCTCCATTCTTCTGCAACAGCCACTTAGTTTTCAAAGTTGTCCCTCCAACCAGAGTGGGAGTGCTGGATATAGCAGTGACCTCCACAGTGTATTCTGATGCCTCTAATCTTCAATATGGCGTAAGAGTGTATGTTTATGTGTGAACATGTAACAAGTCCTGTTAGCAACGTTAAAACAAGCACCATTTTTGTGCATGTCCACCTCATGTAAACAAAGGAGATAATGGCCCACACTCTTGACCTCACAAGCAAAAAAACTCCCTGTTTGCACGACAATACTAAAAATGGAGTTGAGTTTCTGAGTATCTTCACCCTTGAAGGAGTTTTGCAAAAGGTCAGTGTTCAGTGACGTAAAACACAGTTTACGTGTGGACAAATTGCCAAAACTCATAGAAAAAGCTATGATTTCAAATTTCCCATGTACGTTTGGACAAGGCCTTGGTTTGACATGCCTGGGTCAAGCAGTTGTCTTGGATTCCACTGGTGATCAGAATCAGTTTTGAAATGTTTACAGGCTGTTCATACCTCTCTATGTTCTCGATGTCTGTGCACACAAGCCAGGACTCCTGGGGGAAGTCAACAGGTGATGATGATCTGTCCTCCAGGATTGGGACATCAGAGCTTTCATCCACCCTGCAGTCTACATTTGGCTCAGGGCAGGGCTCATTTCCTGCAGGAGGTAAAGACACAGCACGTTCTTTAATGTTTATGTGTCACAATTTCTGCAGTGTGAAATGATGTTCATGTGCTTTTACATTGTAAAAACATTTTACTGGGTTACGTATGTTATTAAAAATCTGATATTTTTGGGTTCTGTTCAGGACACACTAAATCCAGTCAGTTAAACTAGATTTGACTGTGTGCAAAACAGTGTACTGCCTTGTACATTTTCATCCTCATTTTGATGGGATTTGGATTTTTTCTAAACCCTTAAAATCTTTGTCTTATAATTCAGGTATTAATCCTAAAAGTTATTATTCAGTAATTGCAATTAATTAATTGATTTCAGCTATATGTTATACTATTTTAAATAATATGTAGTATTTACTACTATTTATACCATACTACTATGAATAACGAATATTTCTGTGATTGGGGTGCCATTTGTGTTCCACTGATAATACATCTACAAATGTGTGTGTAAAGTAGAGGAAAACAACATTAGCATAGGTAACATATTTGTAAGAAACAATGTAAGACATTGGTAAACCTGTACACAGCATTTAGAAAATAGCATTATTGACTGTCCCAGACCACCATCACTACACTTTACCCTGAAATATAATCATGACAATACTTTTTGCATTAATGTAGAAATCCATTTAACATCAAACTTAAAAAATTCCTCTTGTCAGTCAAAAATATACATTATTAAATGTATTATTATGTTAATGACATGTAGGAGATCAAGTAAAATGTTACCATATATTTATGCTTTACTACTGCAGTATAATAGTATGTCTTATATAATATGATAGTACAATAGTTTATATAATAACTATTTATATAACACACCATCGCTGTTGGAATAAAACCTCATATTTCCACTCCATTTTCACACAATGTAAATGGCAATTGGTCTTTACAAAATATATATTCCTATATTCATGTTAGGCTAGTCATGAGAGTGAGAAACTGAAGTGTGGCTCCATATACAGGCCCATAACCTTTTAAGAGGTTAAAACACCGCAAGTGAACCCACTGAAAGTTTGCCTTCAAACTAAACTGAACACATTTTCAAAGAGAACTTAATCCAAGAAAGACTAAACGTTCGGGGCTGTGCCTGTTTCCTGCACACACACACACAGCGTTCCCTTCTACTTTACTCTCTTTGTAAGATGTTAACACACTGCCATCTGCATAACATGAGTGGAGCTGAGCCCTAAGCACAACAGCTCCACAGACACAGGCCCTTGCTGCCCTCTGCTGGACACATGCGGTACTTCACCTTTCCTGTGAAGCTGCAGCACACCCAGCAAACACATCGACTTCAGCATCTCCGTGATGTACATCTCCAGACAGCACTGCAGCTGGATGAAAAGCCTGCATATTTCTGGGTGGATTTCCCCGTCCTCGGGCCTGCGGGTGCACAAACACAGAGGAGAAAGTCAGTGCACTCAGCAGCGGTTTTCGCACCGAAGGGTGGCGTTGTGTGACGGTCGCAGCAGCCTGACAGCGTAAATAGAGACACAGTCACGCAGTGCTTTTACCACGTAACCCTACAGTTTATTCTCACGTTGAGTCCTGAGGGACTCTCACCCGGAGATGACGGTGAGGCTCTGGTAGGCGGTCTGAGCCACCGCGCAGCCTTTGGTGCGAGTCTTGTGCATTTGCGCGCGCAGAGAAGGACAGTCCACTGTGATCTCTCCGATGGAGATGACCTGCTCACGGTGCAGCGCCACCAGAGTGTTGAACTCCTGCACCGTCTAAAAAATTGAGACAAAGATGCTCTCAGTGAGTCTAGTAATGCGTTACTATCATCATGTAGCTGCAGCAATAAGCACAAAGCTACACATGGGAGATGGAGATGACGCATAGACATAGAATGTATATGTGTCATTAAATGTGTGTACACACACACACACACACACACACACACACACACACACACACATATATATATATATATATATATGTGTGTGTGTGTGTGTGTGTGTAAATGATACTGGAACACTGGTCATGTACAGGCTATACACAGAGCTATAACAAGAAAGTATCTGCTGCAACAAAGGTTCTATGTAAGCCGTTTCCCGCAATAAATCTCTTCAAAGCACCACCTCGCTAATAAACACTTAAGCGTTCAGTCTATCGAGACTGCAGCCCACAGAGCGCTACGTTATGTATTCTATCCTATCTGTCATAACAAAACAACGGTCTGTCAGACATTATGCAGTCTATCAGCAGTCATTACAGTCGTGGGTGAACGCTGTGTAGGCTAAACAGGGCCGGTCTGTAGGAGCAGAGAAACACTAAACACGGCCGCTACCGTAAAGCTGCCTCAGCCGCGTTATGTGTGCGTGCGTGAGAGCGGAGGCCACCTGCTCGCTGTACCCACCATCCTGCAGTCGTCCAGGGCGCGCTGGGCTCTGCGCGTGCTCTCCGTGCTCTCGCGGCGCTCCTGCGCGGCCCTGCCCAGCTGGAAGATGCTGCCTGCGGAGCGCGGGCGCTTCTTTCGCCCGTTCGGTGCAGAACACATGCATGCGCGTGCACGAGCCAAAGCACTGCGGAGAGGGGGAAAAAAAAAGCCGCGCTGCGCGCACAGCGTCTCGAGGGCGACGACCGCGGCTTCCTCCTTTCTCTCACTCTCTCTCTCTCTCTCTCTCACTCTCTCTACTTATCTCTGTCTCTCTCTCACTCTGAGCACCCTCGACGTTTCAGCAGCGCGTGAAAGAGCGGACCAGACGCGCTCGAGCCGTCTGCATCTCTCCTCTCCGGCTCGACGAGTCACCTTCAGCCCCCGCTGCTGGAAGGCCGAGGAGAAGCGCTGTGCGCCCCGTCAGGCTGCAGCTACACTCCCACAGCAGAGCTGAGCAGAGGAAGCGCCTGCCCTCCGCCTGCCTCCTCACCCCTCCACTCCACTCCACTTCACTGCTACTGCTGCTCTGTCACAGCATTTTCTCACAAAGTTCACCAGTGAACGGACTGTTCTTTTTGTGTGTGCTTCTAAACACAGAACTATTCAGGAACAGGTGCATCTTGGCTATTGAATATGTTGCTAAGCTACAAAGCTTTTAAATTGTGCTTCTGCGCAAAGTTGGGTTAATAACTAGTTTTACTAATGTTGATGTACTTTCCTCAGTATTTCCAGGTCATAATATTTTACTTCTAAGTAAAATATGTGAGGGAAATCTGAATCATTTAGCTCCTCCGTTTATGTGTTTAATATCATCCTTACATTGGTGACAGCAACTGTGTACTTCCCTGCTGAAAACAGACCATTATAACCATTAAAATTAAAAGCTGATGGTTTTGCCTTCTAATGGAAATTGGCTCAAAGGTTACCATTAGACACTACTAGTTTCTTTAAATTCCATTAGGAAACCATCAAAAGCACCTGGAATCCGTGCCAGAAGACCTGTTAAACCATTACAGTCGTTTACACTGTGAAATCAACGTCCTCACATTACCATTAGTAACGAACACCACCAGGAACCAACAGAAACTTTCAACAGTTTCTATAACTTTTTTTTCAGCTGGGCTGTGCAGCATTTCTGCATGTACCGCTGTACCATTATTTAATTAAACTAATAATTCCTACTTGATACTAAAATATAAAATAACATATACAATGTAATAACAAAAAGGGTTTTAGGCTAAACCTTTACCTCTAAACTATTGTAAAACAATGTCTCACATCGAGCAGCAGATTCATAACAATTTCATGTAATAACTTTCTGTGAGGGAGCTTTTAGAAGCATTCAATTCTTCAGATGTCTGGTTCCCATCACTACCACTGCGAACAATTTTGAACTGGAGAACAAGCCATTTCTCATTAATTTCACATTAATTTCATTAAGTTCAATTTTGAACTCCAGAACAAGCCATTTCACATTAAAGCACTCTGGATGACTTTGTTTACATATTAACCATTTAATTCTGCAGAAGTTTTGAAAACTGGTGGAATTCCCTTTTAAGTTCCCATTCTGGTAAAAGATGGATTCACTCTGAAGTTCCCCTTCAGTTCTATGAGTAATCTAAGTACGAAAGTATTTCACCTGGCCCTCTGTACTTCTGTTCAAGTTGTTTCATGGAAAGTTGCTTTTTACTTTAACTAAAGTAACAATACTTTGACTTGAGTGCGGCTTTAGGCTAATCTACCACCTCTGCTTCGGGAATGTATATATGAAACACAACCAACATTGCTGACAATGTGGTCATACTAAGTGGTAACTCGGTAGCAAACACAAATCCCTGGTACATTAAAACATTATTTACTGATTAAAACAAACCATGAAAATTACCCACAACAGGTACATTTTAAGCCCAATCGGAACAAAAACATTAAAAAACAGATTAAACAAATTAAAATGTTAAATCAACATTTAAATTTCAAACAGAAAAGGAATCATTTAAATAAAAGCACCTCTTTAAAATGCTGAAACTTGCCATTGCCATCTCACTGTTGACATTTTCCTCTTGATGTTCATCCAATGATACAGCCTATATATTAGCAGAAACCTTTCACAACAAATGCTACATACTTTGTATGCAAACGTTTGGGCGCCCCTGGAAATTAACATTTTTTTTCTGATTTTCTAATTGAAAATAAATCTTTACAGAGAACACGTTCTCACATTTTAATGCACAACTACAATTATTCACTGATTTTAAAATATTGGAAAAAATAAAACAAAAAGTGGCCCGTGCGAAGGTTACAGCACATTTTATATTTTCTTTTTTCCAAGAAACTTGAAAAGACCTTATGCACTAATATTTGAAAAGAAAATATATTTTTAATAAAATATATTAAAGTTTTCTCCTTGTAGATGATGTGTTAACTTCTATTCACTTAGAGAATCAACAAAGCATGTAATCTGACCAGGGGTGTTCAAACCTGTACATACACAATTAAAGACACATACATACACAGCTTCTACAGTAACATCTTCATAGCTAAAATGAGGCACTTAAAGAGAAAACAGTTCTAGTTTGTGCATCTCTGATTCAACTGTGCACTCCTTAAATCAGAAAAGAAAGAAGTAAAAAAGGCCACAAAAGAGGATGAAAGCCAGCACCCAGTGAAAAGAGTAGATCGAGACGATCACTATGTCAGAGTCAAAAGGCCACCCCCGCATGTCTCCCAGTTCCAGTCCGTCTAGCCCAAACGCTCGGTGGGGAAATTGCCACCTGCTAGTAAAAGCCCCACGTCGCTGGAACCCTGAAACAACACACAAGTAACAAAACAATGAGCATATTGTCAGAGGGAAATAAGCTATTATTTTTGTATATATTTATTGTTAGAAACAATAAAAGTAAATGAGTGTAAAACTGCAGACCCCATAAAATGCGGAAACGCTTTGGGCAGCTGGGCAGGGGCCACTTCGAATAGTTTGTCTTCTGGAAAGTCTCTTTTCTTGAAAGATATTCTTTAGGGAAATAAGTCCTGGTGGTTTGGTGGAGCTCTGAAACACAAGCACAATTTTGCAATGTGCATTACACTCAATTAACTATGATATCAATTTACTAGAAGGAAGACAAAAAACGGTTTAAAAAAAACAACACAAATATAAAATTAAGAACAAAAATGCTTATTATGAGTAATACTTGTTTCCTGTTTTCATGTTTAATAAGCCAGAACTGATGATCTTAAAAACTGATTTAGAACAAACAGGATTTCTCAGACACAGATTAAGCCTAAGCCTAGACTAAACAGAACTTGCAAAGATGTATCATTGGCACAGCAGTTTAATCCCAAACTAGACTTAATGCTTTTCTGGGAAGCTGACCCTTATTGTATTTGTAATCCCAGACTCAGTCTTATTGTACAAGGAGAAATTAGGACATTAATTTGCTGCACTGACCTTGCTGGAAGAGCACATGTGATATGAGGGTTCTGCAGAGGGGGCAGGGGGTGCTGCTGGGCCGGTTCTTTGCCACCGTCCTCAGACAGGGCTCACAGAACACGTGGCTGCAGGGCTGGCACATGTAAGGATTGTAGTACACATCCAAACACACAGCACAAGTGTAGCCTTCTTTCTCTTCGTCATCGCTGCTCGTCAGATTCCACTTCACACTCTGAATCACAGTAGACACACACAATCAACAGTTAGGCTTTTTTTTAAAGCTGTGACTAAATAATGTGTTTTCCATTATGGACGGACTGATTAAATTGTTTGCCAACAGTATGACACAGCACATTTTTATTTTTCAGGAAAAAACTTAGCACTATTGTTGTCTCCAACAATGAGTTTTCTGTTCCACTTTGACTTCCCATCTAACAACATCAACTGCATGCAGCTAAATTATCCTTACTAAGTGGAATGACAGGGTCAGCAATGATTATCAACGTATTTATATGCCCCATCATGTCAAAAATGTGACAAACAAACAAGGATCACAATAAAAACATTTATAAATTATTACAGAACATTTATAAATTATTAAGTGATATTAGAAGCAGGGATGCAATTTTTGGCAAATTCTTTTTGACCAATAACTGATCATTATTAGCTGGTGATTAATCGTTAACTTACAAACCTAAAATTATGGACATGACCCATGACAACATCAAAAACAGCACTGCTTTTTATGGAGAAAAAGGCCTCAGGCTTTATTCTATTAAAAAATGCAACCTAACGTAGCAGATATGACTGATGTAAAGTAGTTTAATTACTTTACCACATATTCTTAGCCAAGTTAACAAACATAAATGGCCTGACTGGGGCTAGCTTGAATATGCAAAGTTTAAAAAATAATCAACAAATTCATCTGCCTACAGTTTTAAAGCTTTTTTATCATGGAACTAACTATACAAATTTTATTTGCTTGCTTGTAGGCTATACTCAGTAGTAGCTCTGCGACGTTAAAAAAATACTCAGTTGTAGCCTGCCTTAGCACTGCGTCATACAGTTAAATATCCCAACTGAATATGGATCACAATGATACTATTGTGATAATTCTGCAGGCAATAATGGTTTGCCTCAATTTACATTAATCCATTAATAAGTCCAAACATAACATAGTACTGACAAGGAAGGACTTCCATGCAGATGTTGTTCTCCTCAATGTGACATATTCTGTTACTCAACAGTACATATCCAATGTAATCTGTACTGTAATGAATTACTTGGTTGTCATACAGAGGGCAAAGTCCATGAGGCTCACCTGCTGTCATTACTTTTCTTTGTTTAGCAGTCTAAAACCCATAGCAAGGAAGATATTGTACTATCACTATTGACCTAATACCACAAGATTTTCATGTTCTACATTCCTGTGACTGTGTTCTCTATAAACTATTAAAAAACAAAATGAAACACTGGAGAAAAGTGTGTGAAACTATGGCAAACTAACAGCGAAAATGAAGTCCAAGTTCTAGTCATGAGCTCTGAAATTATATCTGGATTTGGTACAACTCCACTGTGGAACTGACCGGGGGCCAGTCAGATTGGCTGTATTAAAGAGGCATTGGGTAATGCTACATTATCACATTTGTATGGTTATCTGATTCACTAGAAGAAAAGACTATTTTGCACACTTTTCCCCAAATGGCAGGGCTGTTTTCATTACAATAGTACTGTCTGCTTAAATGATACTGTAAGTTCTTGTCAAAATCAAAAAAACATAATGACCTACTATTGCAGTGCACTGATATGACAATGACGTCACTACTGTCCCCTGAGAAAGTTCATAAATGAGTGTTTATCAACTTTTACATCAATTTTAACATTTCAGAAACTGCCACTATCTATAGTAGATGATACTGAGCCCTTGTGATTGGATATGACAATATCTCACCAGTACCTTCTCCTCAATTTGACTCTGAATCCATCGCGCTTTCTTTCTCTGCTTCCTCCTTAAGCTCTTTAAGCGATTCTTCTCTTTCTTGGTCAGGTTCTGAACAGGACTGGAGGTTGTGTGATGCATTTGTTCCTCTGTTGTTCCCGGAATGATGTTCTCTTGCTCTTGTTCCAGTTCTGTTTCCATAGAAGGCATTTCCTGCGGTGTGAAGTAAACTAGATGACCTTCTGTGTTCTCTTGATAACCTGATGTTTGAACAGGCATCTGCCTTTCGTGGGCTTCAGGACCCTCATTATCTGTTTCAAGAGACACAAGACTTTGTGGTTCTTGGCCTGAGTCCACAATAGCCACTGTCTCAGTCACATCCTCATCTACAGGGGAGATGTGGGGCAAATCAGGGGTTCTACTACAGAGAGAGATGAAAGAGGCCTCGCCATCTAAATGAGTTACTTGGGTCGCCATACTCTGAAGTTCTGTCTCAGATTTTAGCATCTGGATGACTTGGTGTAGATCCTGATTCAGGTTTGGAATTGACTCAAGGTTGCCTCTGACCTTTGGTTCTTCTAGCTCTTTTGGATTGCCCAGAAATCCTGCCTGTATTTCTGCATGTCTTCTGGCCCTGCCTGGTCTGCTCAAGTGGACAGAATGTTTTACAGCCTGATCAACACGGCTTTTGCTGAGGTGCACGGCTGAATTGTGTCCACAGGGACATTTCGGACAGTTTATGAAATTGAAACCTCCCAGACGAGCTCCACAGTACTGACAGTTCAGCTTCCCGACAGTCCAGTGAACCTGTGATAGGAGGCTTTGTTAGTCACTCTTTAAAATCTAACTTAAGCAGGTGTATAAAAGTGTTTATTAGTTTATTTATTCAATAACTGATTAAATAAATCCGTGTTAACAATCTACCAACAGGATCAACATAAACATTTTAATTTATACCAGTATATTTCAGGCAAGCTAATGAAAATTACAAGCAATGTTGAAACGCTACAGGAGGCCTGTACCTGATTAATTATTTTCAGAATCCAATCTGGCAGTGTTTCAACATCCACATGCCACACACTGCATGTGGCCATGAACTCTTTCGATGCCTGTGAAGAGACAAAGCAATATTTTCAGGATTTATGAAACCCATTGATCCATTTACCATGAACACACAGGACAGGAAGCACAGCATAATGTCAATAACTATCAATCTGTTGTTCATTCATACTTGCCCTTTCATGCTAGACCTAACTTCCACAGGGCAGCTGAACTTAGGCAGAATCTGAAGTTCAGTATAAGTTGCATAGCCTAAAGGGTTTTCCAGTTATTTTGCTCTAACCGGCACAGAGCAGCATGGGCAGGCTGAATAAATTACCGAATAATCTGTCTGCTTTGACTATAAGTGACTCCTTTACTGGATATAGCTGTAATGAGGTTGTTAAAGTAACCCAGAGAGGTGACAATAGGATCTGATGTACCATCAGTGACGACACTGGCTGCTTTCAAGTGTCATATAAAATTTGTATCATTTGTTGGCCCAATGGTTTAAAGACTGAACCTCAGGAGGGCATACAGTTTGAACCACAAGTGCTGCACTCTCTCTACAGAAAAATAGTTACTTTATTCCTTATTTAAACCACAGTATACAGTTTAAGAAAATTACAGTAAGGCACTTAATATCAATCTTTGATCATCATCACAAAAAAAGTTTCTTTAAAAGCTCTAAAGACACATTTGTTTTTAGCATGGACGTCTACCCACCAAAAGCAGGCATGTTGAATCTGCAACACATCTTCTGCATTTTCTACAACGAAGAATTGATGGTTCCTCTGCAGTCCCCACAGAGTCTGGTACTGTATCCTGTATTTAAAAATGTGAAATGTTTTACAGCCTTTGCTTTCACTCGCTTTCAATTCAGGTTTATTTGTGTAGACAATGGCACAAAGCTGCTTTACAGAAATCTAGGTTGAGACCTCTAATGAGCAAGCTGAGGGCAACTCTTACAGTTTAATTCAACCAATTTTCAAAATTTCTGCATATTTCAATTATTGAGGTGTAACCAAAATCATTCAGAGTGGTTTGATGGGAAATTGTACACTGTAGTGAAATTTACAGACTCTTTGATTTATTTCCAGTGGTGGTGGTGGGAACCAGGGTCGGGGTGACTACAACTCTAATGGAGCCATTTTATTTACTGCCCAAAACCACGAACCTACAGGTGTCTTTCTATATGTTATGCTGATAATCCTAAAGTAGTGATAAATCAAATAAAAATAACTAACTAAATAAATAAAAAAGTACTATTTTGCAGTGCCTGCTCCTCTCCATTGGATTGGATTGGATTTTAAAAGTGCGTTTTAGGCCAAATCTCTTCGTAAAACGATGTCTCGGGAATCAGGCAGCACATTTGTAACCATTTCAGGAAACAGCTTACTGTGATGGAGGTTTAGAGACATTACACGCTTCTGAATCTGTGAAGGCTGGTTTCCTTCACCACCACCACCAAAAGACTGACACAGTATTTTTCTCTAGAACTGATCTTACCAACTTAATCGTGGATCATTTTTGAGAAATCGGTGGAATCCCCCCTTTAGGTTATCCCTCTAAACACGAAATCCGTCTTTGTCAGCATCAGGTAAGACTGATCTGCATATCGGCTTCTTGCACGTTTATTTCCTGTTTTTGTTTTTCTGCGATTCGTGGTCTGTGCCCATATAAGTGGTACATTTCAAACACCAGCGAAAAGTTTTGGCTTGCAGTTTCTCAGCACCCACAGAAGCCTAACTTTGTCTCAGTAATTGTGAGCTTCAGCTGAAAAAGAAATGCACAGACACTGAATCAGCCGAATTTATGATGTATTCTGTTAAACTGGCTAACGCTAAGAGAAAACTTCTGACTGACTGACCAACGTTAGTCACCGACTGTTATTCCAGCCAAACCGTGGGCTTCTGAATCTTATTACCACAGACATGTTCAACAAAGACAACGCTTGCAATTATTAGTTAACCGGACTGTTAGCTTGCTAGCTAACCAAGCTAACTATTTAACACCGACCTTTTAAGGCGATTACTGCTAACCTAGCCAGCTGGTACTGTGGCTTTCCGGATAAATTACCTAAAAATGTCCAACCTTCAGTTAAAGTGTTCTCTCTAACTATTTACTGTCAGTGATATAATTTGATATCTTGAGTTGTAAGCAATAAAGTAAGGCCAAAGAAACAAAAATCCGCCTACCGTATGACTGGATGCCATTGTTTAGGTGATATTTTTCCAGCCCTCGTCAACACTGTAGCACTGCGGCTACCCAGCGTTAGCTTACGAGCTAAAAACAAACTACACGTTGAGTCGGGTTTGTTGTAGTTCTTGCATTCCCATGGTACGGGGGCCGCTAAGGGTCATGCGCCTAAAACTCAAAACGCGATTCTAAATTCACAGGACACATACGCTTCATAGTTAAACCATCGTGATCAGACTTTTCGGCTTAATTCGTTTATAACTGTACGGTGAATTTGTCAGTCAGCATAAAAAGACGGTGCCGGACACTTGGCCCTAAAAGTTAGGCTGCTTATTATTGATATAAGCTACGGGCTCCGTCCTAAGACGTCACAGCTTTGTGTTGATCATTAGTTAGTCTATTCATGGCCTTCATATCTATTTTCCCTTTCTTACACCTGGTGACTGTTCCTGTTAACGTTTTGTTTTCTGTATTCTTAAGTTTATGAAAGTAAGTACAGCAGGTGGCAGCAGTATCAAGGTCCAGGTAGGTGAATGCCACCAGCCACGATACTGAGTGGAGAAAGTTGAGTGATTTTCTCAAGGCACTGTGATGCTGCCTATATGTATGTGAGTAGACATCCAACTCTACAGTCATTCAGGTAGATTAAAAACATGTCCTACATCACTGATTACTCCTGATCTGCTCTCCTACAGAGTCCCAACCCACATTCCAGCACTGATGCAACTGATCCAACCAATGAACTGTGTCCTAAGTTGAGTACTTATTCTTAGTGGAATTTCACATTGTTCTCCTGGCTTATTTACTAGTACCTATTATTTTATTAAGTAGTACAGTGAGTTCAAGTAAATGTAGGACCTTTAGACACAACACAAAGCTTGCTGACCTGAAATTTATCTTGCAAACCAACAAAATTGACCTCACCTCAGTTTCACACACATTCAGTTACTACTGTCAGTTTAGATTGTATAGGCCAGGGGTCACCAGCCTTACGCACAAAGGGCCAGAGTGGCTGTAGGCTTTCATTTCAACAAAGCAGCTTCACACCTCGTTAGCTAAGCAGCTGTTTGAGGCCAACTGACTAAACAAGAGGAATCAGCTGTGCTTCTACCTACAGCCACACTGGCCATTTGCAGAACAGATTGGTGACCCCTGACTTAGGCTATGCTAATGTAATAACTGAATAAGTGAAGCACAGTAATCACATATTTTCTGTTGCGAATTTCCAACATCATCTTAAAGTTGGCTGACAGTCTCAGAAGACCCTCCTCATTGTACCACTGTAATTTTGGATCAAATAGTGTCTACCTTGCATCTGAAGTGGAGTACATATGCACATATTCTAAGTGGCAGTACACTTTAATCACCTGCATGTTCTATTAGTATGGTATTCAAGAAAATGTTGAGCTTTTCAGAGTATAGCAGTGCTTGTAAACTTTGGGAACATCCATACATGCAAAAACATTGTATTTTAATAAGACATTTTGGTAAAACACAGATGTAGCATAATAATCGTATGGTCTGTTGTCCGCCATCTTCGACCTGACTGATTGCCAGAAGCCCCTCTAAACCACTGAAATTCTGGGATTATTCCAGTGTTTGCATTCTTTGGATTTTGACTGGTTGTGCTACAGAATCTGGGTACTTTTCTTCCATTTCTTGATGAATTTTAACGTTTGGGGCACACAAGTCGTTGTGCAGTATTGCTTTAGAGTTTTTTTTCTTTAGAAATGTGCAACTCCTCAGTACAGCCAAAGTCTTCTGAAGACATTCTTTACACTGTTTAAGTTATCTTTTGTTGTCAAAGTACTGTAAAGTGTACCGTATTGTCTCTTTAAAAATAATGTGGGAAACTATAAGTGAAATGACAGAAATATCATCAATACACTTCAAATGTGAATACTTTAATTTTCTTAACGAAATAACAACTGACAATTTTGGTCCTGCCAATCATTTTTCAGACAAATCACATCTATAACGTGGCTTCTCCTAAACTGTAATCATTCACTTGCCACTCACATGCAACTGAATTTTCCAACAGTTACTCAGTAACTTTAATGAAGGCGTAACTCTACCACACTTTACATAACCGTATAATTGAAAAGCATGTTTTTTGTGGACTTTAGAGAAATGTCTATTCAATGAGATTTCAATCTATTTGGTAAAATTCTTTCTCTAGCCAAAAGCTAGTTTGTGTGTGTGTGTACATACACAGATCAGGTTCTTCAGGGGTCAGGACCTCCATGGACCCTCACAGAGCAGGTACTATTTGGGTGGTGGATCATTCTCAGCACTGTAGTAACACTGATGTGGTGGTGGTGTGTTAGTGTGTGTTGTGCTGGTCTGAGTGGATCAGACACAGCAGTGCTGCTGGAGTTTTTAAACACCTCAATGTCACTGCTGGACTGAGAATAGTCTACCTCCTCCTACCTACCCCTTCATCCTGTGACCACTGATGAAGGACTAGAGGATGACCAACGCAAACTGTGCAGCAGCAGATGAGCTACTGTCTCTGACTTTACATCTACAAGTTGGACTGACAAGGTAGGAGTGTATAGAGTGGACAGTGAGTGGACACAGTGTTTTAAAACTCCAGCAGCACTGCTGTGTCTGATCCACAGCGCAACACACACTAACACACTACCACCACATCAGTGTTACTGCAGTGCTGAGAATGATCCACCGCCCAAATAGTACCTGCTCTGTGAGGGTCCATGGGGGTCCTGACCACTGAAGAACAGAGTAAAAGGGGGCTAACAAAGTATGCAGGGAAACAGATGGACTACAGTCTGCAACTGTAGAACTACAAAATGCACCTATATAGTAAGTGGATCTGATAAAATGGACAACCAGCGTAGAAACGGGGAAGTGGTCATAATGTTATGGCTGATTGGTGTATATGTGCATGTGTATCATATGTATGCATTTGCATATCTAAATGTAATATCTTGCCAAACAAATGATCTGTATTATGACCTGGATGCGATTTGAGTAGGTTGAGAGAAGTTTGGGTGTATTTACAGTGGGTTGAGAGAAGTTTGGGTGTATTTACAGTGGGTTGAGAGAGGTTTGGGTGTATTTACAGTGGGTTGGGAGAAGTTTGGGTGTATTTACAGGGGGTTGAGAGAAGTTTGGGTGTATTTACAGTGGGTTGAGAGACGTTTGGGTGTATTTACAGTGGGTTGAGAGAAGTTTGGGTGTATTTACAGTGGGTTGAGAGACGTTTTGGGTCTATTTACAGAAATAGTTTGGGTGACTTTTAACTTCCAGTGTTTGTTAGCATCGCTAGCCTCATAGCTCCAGTACTAAACTAAAAAAACGGAATATGGACACCAAACATGTCTTAGCTGACCAACTGCTTTTGGGGTAAGTGGAAAACCGTGTGAATTTGATTTTTCACCAAACTATTCAATGTCTTTCCTTAACTTATAACTTCCAACCAAGAAATTTCATTTCAGAATTTCATTTGGAGGAAAAACATGACACCAAAACAAATGTCCCAAGGGGTATTTAATAAAATGTTTAACAATATTTTTGCAGTGTGACAGATGATGGCAGATTCTGCAGGAAGGAGCAGTGCTAGTACACATATACTCTACACTCTTAAAAAAGGTGGTTCTTCAAGGGTTCTTTAGTAAAGAAAATGATTCTATATGGGACCATGAGCACTCAAATAACTCTTTGCTTGATTAAAGGGTTCTTTGCATCATGAAAGAATGGAGAATGTGCTGTAGATGGTTCTATATAGAATCATTTTGAAAATGGTTCTATATAACACCCAAAAGCTTTCTTCTATTGTTCTGATGTCAAGCTTGTAACAATAGAAGATCCCTTTCAGGTGCTATATGGAACCCTTTTCAAAAAGGTTCTATATAGAACCATCTATAGCACATTAATGCACATTTTACATCAATCTGAACAACGTCATGATGCAAAGGGTTCTTTGAGTGTTCATGGTTCTATATAGAACCATTTTCTTTACTAAAGAACCCTTGAAGAACCATCTTTTTAAGAGTGTAGTCTAGATCATATACTCTTATAAATAAGGTTTCTAAATAGTTCTAGGCTTGAGCTTAAACAGTTAGTAGGGAAAACCCTTTTACAGAATCTTATAGAATCTTTACAGTGTGTGGAGACATTATGTGGTTCTTCACACTCGCTCATCTCATTTCTGGTTCTGTAAAGAACTGTCCATTGAAAGGTTCTTGAGGGACCCAGAATTGTATCTCCTATAGCATCGCTCCAAAGAACCCTTTACTTTAAGTGGGCTGTGATGCCAAACGGGTCATTTTCATGCAGAATTCCAGAAAATGAGTGGAGGTCCAGAGTAAAAGCTCTGATCACCTGCGTAGGTAACTGACGTATCATCCGGGTCTGCTATATAAACGCTCGCGCCACGCCACAGCCCTTCAGTGATGATGTTCCTGCCTCGCCTCGCGTGCGCTCCTGTGGAAGGGGGGCTGTAGGGGACCGCAGCTTCTTCCACTTTGGCGCCCCGCGTTCCCCACGAGATGGAGGAAGAACACAACCTGTCTTCATTATTTCAGAACGACAGTGGCTTCTATTACCAAAACGACACGGTGGCTGTGTCTGCCAAGGTTCCTCTGAGTTACCAGGTGTCCACGTCTCTACTGATCGGCGCGCTGATCCTCTGCTCCGTCTTTGGAAACGCGTGCGTCGTGGCGGCCATCGCGTTGGAGAGGTCACTGCAGAATGTGGCCAACTACCTGATCGGCTCGCTCGCCATTACGGACCTCATGGTGTCTGTGCTCGTGCTGCCGATGGCGTGCCTCTACCAAGTTCTGGACAAGTGGACCCTCGGGCAGGTGACCTGCGACATCTTCATCTCTTTGGACATCCTGTGCTGCACGTCCTCGATCCTGCACCTGTGCGCAATAGCTCTGGACAGATACTGGGCCATCACTGACCCTATCGACTACATGAAGAAACGGACACTCAAGCGAGCCGCCGTGTTGATCAGCGTCACCTGGCTGGTGGGCTTCTCCATATCCATCCCACCCATGCTGATCATGAAGTCGCAGCCCAAGAGCAAGGCGGAAGACATCGCCAACCCCGAGGCGTGCACCATCAGCCACGATCCGTGGTACACCATCTACTCGACCTTCGGCGCCTTCTACATCCCGCTCATCCTCATGCTCGTGCTCTACGGACGCATCTTCAAAGCCGCGCGCTTCCGCATCCGCAAGACGGTGAGGAAATCGGAGAAGGTGAAGTGCCTGACCGTGTCGCCGGCTCTCTTGAAGAAGTCCAACGGCGAGCTGAAGAGCTGGAGGAGCAGCGTGGAGCCCAAACCGGACGCGTGCGCCAACGGCGCGGCGAAGCGCGCGGACGACGGCGAGTCTTTGGAGATCGTGGAGGTGCAGGGCGCGAAAAGCACGCTGCCTCTGCCCAGCGCGCCCAGCCAGGTGCCGCTGTTCGAGAACAGGCACGAGAAGAACACGGAGGCCAAGAGGAAGCTCGCCCTGGCGCGCGAGCGCAAAACGGTGAAGACGCTGGGCATCATCATGGGCACGTTCATCCTCTGCTGGCTGCCGTTCTTCATCAAAGCGCTCGTGATGCCCTTCTGCCCCTCGTGCCAGATGCCCGTGTGGCTCAGGGACGTGATCAACTGGCTGGGCTACTCCAACTCCCTCCTGAACCCCATCATATACGCCTACTTCAACAAGGACTTCCAGAGCGCCTTCAAGAAGATCATCAAATGCCATTTCTGCAGACCCTGAACGCTGCAGCCCCCTTCTCTGTAAATCAGTTTGGACTGAACGTCGTCATTGACTTGCTGCGAACAGGTTGTTCAAACAGACCTCGGTGAGTTGACAGAGGTGATGATGGGGGGAGAAAAAATCTGCGTACAGTATTATCTCAGTGTACTCAACTGTGGAAGAGGTCGTTATGTATTATACATTATATTGTTTCTATTTTCAGAAAAAGGTGTATAATACTGTGTATATGATGCAGAGGAACAACATGTACCACTCATGTCCATTTGAAACATGAATGTGTTCATGCTGTTGAATAAACTGGTTCTGAACTGACTCTCCACTCTGCTTTCCTTCTTTCCTCTTAATTTCTTACTGAATCAAATATCTGTTATGCTCCAGATTAAATGCTTCCCCCTTTGGCACATCTGCGTGGCTGGTTATTATGGAAAACATGGACATTTGCATTAGTCTCAGCTATAATGAATAGAGATAATTTCAGGGAACATATTGTTCTTCATCTATCTGTAATGTGGTTCTGTCCAGCTGTGCAGTCTGTAAATAGCCATGTTATTTCATATGGATTAGCAAAGCTTCAAGTTCGGTATTTATATTGAATATGTGGAAGATAACGGGGCTCCTGGGAGAGAGACTTTTTTTTCAGTCAGAGATTTGGGGTCTATTGTTTATGCATTTGATTATTTTTATTTACTTTGCACTGCAAAAAATTGTTTACAGTTAGATTAATTAAAAATATGTACATTTATTAATTCACTTTCCCACTTTGACACTTCTTGGGTTATGTGTTTGAGGTGGTTTTAGACTGTCCAGGCTGGAATTTGTGCCTTTAGCCTGAAAAAGCATTCGTACAATACATTCACATGGGGTTTTTGAGTGCATGACACAAAGTGTTCTTTTTGACATTGCTTTTGGTTGTGGAAACCCATTTCAGTGTTGTTTTCCAGCGCCGTCCCCCATGGCACAAAGTGAACCCACACTGAAGGCAGAGGGGGACAACTGCATATTTTCAGAACAAACAGAGCTGTTTAACCCCTTGAATGATCCAAAGCTTAACATTAACCATTTTTTGCATTGCTTAATATTTAATTACTGAATAATTTGTCTTAGAATGTAACAAGCTTGGAATTTTAAGGGGTTCATGCGCTTTTGGTTCTGTTACGCAATCAAGAATGCAAATGAATGCAGATAAATGACAGTAAGAGCAATCAAAGAATGTAAAAAAGCAGGTACATTTTTAAATCAGTCTAAAAAAGGTGTAGAAGTTACCATGCGACAGCATTTAATGGTAGATATCACTGAATTAAAAAGCCTGACTGCAGGTATGACTTCTGAACACTGACTTGCAAAACAAGGTAAAATACAGGCAAACAACTGTGAATAGGTACACTCTAAAAAAACAGAGGTTCCTAAACTTGTACATAAAGTTCTAGGAAAAACCTCATTAGTACAGAACATTCACATTACACAGTCGCTGAACAAAATCTCCAAAATGATAACGTCACAGGGGAAGGCATAAATACTCTGTAACAAGACTTTTCTCCAAGTAATGTTGAACCATTTCTGTTGATCCATTCATCATGAAATTTACACACAATGTAAAGTGTAGATGTCATTTTTTAATTACGTCAAAAAATGAAAATGGAGATGGACACAAATGGAGATACAAGGTTTTGTTCTGACAGTGTCGATGTGGAGGTTCTTTAAACCAATTTACATCTCATTTACATAATGGTTCTTTAATGAACCATCCATTGAAAGGTGCTCTAGGGAACCAGCATGACGTCACTCCAAAGAACCATGTCATTTTTAAATGTAGTGACTATGTTTATATGTAGATATACAGTACCGTGCCAAATAGGCACCTGAGACAATTACATTCACAAAGCTATGTAACTGGGCAGCTATTTAACTGGGAAAAAAACAATTTTATAAATATATATATATAAATTAAGACAATGCGCAGTTAGTTTACATATTCCAGTGGAATGGAATGTTCACTTCCATTTCCAACCTTTCCATGTGGCAGGCCAGTGTTACTTGTTGATCACACTGCATTACTACAAAAAATGCCCACATGTAACATAACTGATCCTGATCATTTGCATTTTCACACGACTTCATCGTGGCCAAGGCATTTCATATTCTCAAGACACTCCAGCAGTCCGAAAAATCCAGTTGAGCTGAAGCCACTAAAAGCCACTCAGCAGAACACACACAGACTGGCTGGTCTCCATAGTGACACATTGGTTGCAAACTCTAGGTTTGAGGTGCAATTATCTGATCAAAGGCCCAGGACAATACAGAGGGACCACGTGGACCAACGACTGGACAGACTGGGCGGTCCCAGGTCCACGGCTATTTTTTTTTACTGCAGGGCAGTACAGAGGTAAGACTGATGTCCTTCTCATGACATGAACATTGTTTCAATCAATTGATTTTACATAATCAAACAAGTAGTCTGAAGGATTTTCTATCATTTGAGGGAGGCACAGTGGCATAACTTCAGTGGGGTGGTGGGAGGGTATAGTCACACTGAGTCCCATAGTACCAAAGTATGATACCTTAGCAGGCGAAGAAAGTCAGTATATATAAGTCAGTATATCTAATGTTTCTCATTCTGAGATTGCAAGAATACAGTACAATTTTTCTATCCAGTTCAATACACATTTGACTTAAGTCATTTTGTGTAGTGAAATCGTCTTATTCCATTGTCAGATTTTTTTTTCCTGTTTTAAGACACAATTCACATTATTTTGCTTATTTCAAGAAATGCTTGAAAAAGCAAATTCATCTTCCAGAACATGACAATTTCATTACATACAATGACCTAAAACAAATAAAAATGTACAGACATAGATTGAACACTCTTGTAATATTCTATTTTTAATTAGATATATTGCTCAGATTTAAAAGACCCATATCCTACATTTTTCTTGTTTTCTTCTGTGAGTTTATTGGCAGGTTGCAAAGCAGAAGTCTGATTACTGCCTGACTCACGTAAACCCAGAGTTTCCCATTATCTGATTACTCAAGTGCTGATCGTGTTGATCGGATTACTGACAAAATCTGATTTTCTGCAGTTATCGGATTATTAAGTGCATGTAAATGCACCCAGTGAATTCTAAACAGGTTGTTTTTGAAGCGTGTTTTCCATTTATGGACTCGAGAGTGAATGGTACATTTTGAAAGTTTGACAGTGTGTACATATTACTTAAAAATTGGTTTTACATGATACAGGCCCCTTTAAATTAATTTCACTTGCCAAGGAATCATTTCTTGCAAAGAAAGAACCAATTTCTTAACAACATACCTCACCAATTAGCTTCCATCAACACAATACAGACTGCGGTCATGTCTGTTTATCTCCCTCTTATTCATAATGCTTCAAATGAATTCTTCACAATGTGCAACATGATGTATTCATTATTAACATTTAAAAATTTAAATAGTTAATCCAATGCAACATGAAAACATTTAGGTTAGTGCTAGATGTCAGTGAGTTTATTGGCATGACTTTAGAGCATCAACTTATTTGAAACATAACAGAGAGTAAACAGGCAAATTAAATGGTCAATTTTTTAGTCATTGAAAGTCATTTTTGCACTGAGGCCCACTAACACCACTGGTGTGTTTTGGTGATTTTAGAAAGTACAAAACTAATTTAAAAATTCATAGAAAATTGTCTTTGCAAAATGAGACTCTCTTTAAAATAAAGGTGCCAAAAAGAGTTCTTTAGAGCAATTCCACTTTTGCTTCCCTTAAGAACCTTTCAGTGGACAGTCCTTCAAAGAAAATGTGGTCCTTTTTGTAAATGAGTTGAGTGAGTCTAAAGAACGTTTTTAAAGTTTGCAGAACCCCAATATAAAATAAAGGTTCCATACCAGTGAAAAGGTTTTCTTAATCTCTACGTTCAAGCCAAGAACCATTTAGGAACCTTTATTTTTAAGACTGGATTGAAAAAAAGGAGATGAGGCAGAAGGCATTTAAGTGCCATGTTTCATGTCAAAGCTTTTTCCGCTGAGATCTAAAATCTGTGTGCTTTCCAACGAGACTCTCCCCCAGCAACGCCTGATCCCCATTACCCAGCATACTCCTCTCTCGCCCACTCAGAAGGCAGATGAAGGATCGTCAGGTGGCAGAGCCGGTGGCTGCTGATGCAAGTGTGCCACGCTGGAGGGCGAGAAAGAGAGAAAGAGAGAGCAAGAGGCAGATCTCAACTCTCTCACCCCCCAGTCATCTAACACTCTGCCTTTCAAAGCCTGTGCATCACTGTTGACTCAAGCTGTCAAGACGAGCAAAAATGAGAAGCGTGTGATTACCTTCAGGACCTGGAGATGGTGATAAGAGGCTTGAAATATCCTCTCTGGCACTGAACTAGCTGCAGACTTAAGCAAGACTTGTGGTCAGAGGGAGCATTGCTTTGAATGTCGTAATCCTTTGGCTCCAATCAGGCCTGTCTTCAGCCTGTTGTATATCACATCAGAAGAATAATGAGAGCAAATTTCGTCAGATCATTTTTTATGCATTGGCTCCTTCTAATGATGTCATTATATAACACCTTATCAAAGGAGTAGAGTGGAGTTATCTTTGCATAGTAGAGGATGAATCTTAAATAACTTTGTTGATGAGAGTGCAAAGTAACTACATAGTGTTTCTTTTTAGACACTATTAATCTTCACAACTTTCACTGGAGTTTAGAATGTTTTCTTTCTTCTTAACCTAAAGTTCGTCTTCTCCAAGCCCCACTTTGGCTTCAGATTCAAAAAGATTCACAGTTGTTTCTGTCCATCCTTCCACTGTGAGAAGACAACTCAACACTATGGGTTTGAAAAGATGTGTACCTGTCAAGAAGCTGTTAGTAGACAAAAAAGAAGAAAACTTACGAATCAAACAAAGAAGCTAGGGTTCTCAGACCAATGGACTGACCGCCCCAAAGTCCAGACCTCAACATCACTGAACATGTTTGACATCATTTGGATCATAATAAACAGAAAATGGATCATAATAAGCAGAAAGCCTGAACTTTGGAACTGTGGAAAAATATCCCTGGAGATTTCTTTGAAAGCCTAAAAGTAAGTCTGCTAAAGAGAATGGATGCTGTAATAAAGGAAAAGTGTGGACACACTAAATACTGAAAAAATGAAGATTATGTTAAATTGTTGAGGCTTCTGTATAAATTTCTGTTACACATATGTTTCTTTTTTGTTCCTGATGCTGAAAAATTGAGCACGTAATGACAGTTTTGACTGGATCCAGTATGCAAATTGACACAGTATGCAAATGTTTCTCAGAGAAAATATGTTGACAGTGAAGGCAATTAAATACGACATTTTCTGTTTTAGTGCATGTTACACTCAGGTAAATAAACAGTAATTGCACTAAAATGTGCAAAAATGTGTTATCCTATTTGTACTTACGCATAAAAATCATATATATATATATATATATATATATATATATATATATATATATATATATATATATGCTGTTGTCAGTTATTGGAACAAAACCTTGTATCTCCACTTTTGACATTTTCCAGTTTTGGACATAATTTGAAAATGCCTGTTGCCCTTTACATTGTATGTAAATTTCATGATGAATGGGCCAAAAAGTAGTTCCATTGACTTACATTAAAAGTAAAGTATGTTTTTCCTTCTCTTGTAAAGTTACCGTTTTGGAGATACAAGGTTTTGTTCCAATAACAGTGATCTATATATCTGTACAAATAATTACTAGTCTAACAGATTTTGAACACTGCAACAGCCCGCAATTAAGCTGTACTTGATTTGCATAATTCACATGTCATAAAGTGCTCAGGGCCTCAGGACAAATATTTCATATGAAATTTTAACTTGCAGGCTTACACTGTCTTTTGAGGCTGAAGTTGTTTTCTCTATTGTTGAGGAGAAAAAATTGTCAGTTGTCATTTGGAAGCGTCCTCAGCCATTTAAATCCAGCATTATCTGAGGCAGCCAGATTGTGCTGTTAGAAGTCAGGATCTAGCCGTGTGCTCGGGGAGCAGGCAATGCGCCCGTGGATTTGGGAGCGCCTGATCTAATCACACTGTCTGGACCAGCTAATTCATGAGTGTACATTTTCTCATCAGGCTTTACACCAAGAATACAATCCGGCCCACACCGACATTTGATGATTTACTGAAAGGTTTTGCTGGATGGAGGCCATCATGGCCCAGTGTCTGCCAAGCAAAACCGATGAAAGGTTCTTTTCACAAAGTGGCACAGGCACCATGTTTACATGACAGGATTTAAAACAAACATAAACATTGTAAGTTGAACTTTTTCTGTGTGCTCTCCGTGTTTGCAGTACACACTTGAGATATAACAAGTATTCACACTGCTTGCACTTTACCGCACTTTATTGTTTTATAGATGCAAAATGTACTTTTTTTCCCCTGGACTCTGATGTATTCTGTGATTATGCCAGAGAAGATATGAAAGCGTCTCCAGGGTAGGAGGTGAGGATTAAACAGCCTCTGTTCTTGGGCCATAAAAGAGAAACAGTTCAAAAAACGATTCATATAAAACAACACAAAGCAAAAGGCGCCCACATACTGCTGCACAGAGGTGTTCTGTTGGTTGACACTGAGACCCTGCCAGAATTGCAAAAAGGCACAACTTTGCACAAAAAAGTATACTTCAATCTTTTGAAGTATCACGTTCCATGAATATCAACTCTAGAGAATTGAAGAATATCCCTGCATCCAGAGCTGTTTCTCATCAATAAGGTTCCATACTGCACACACAAACCATTTCTAGAGATGGTAAGCAGATGATTCTCACTTACTCTCTGAACAGGAATTACACTTGTCACTTCAATATTGGAAGTCTCTGACCGGAACAGCTTTAATTTGACAGAATCTAATTGCTGTTATATCAGCCATGAAAAACAACTTAGTGCTGAATGCTGCTCTGAGTAGAATTTGGGCCTGAATGGAGAGTAAAATTGAGGTATCCATGATTGCAACAGGCTGAGCTTTGTTCTAATACAAGGGTTTTCTCTAGAGGAAGCTTTAGTGCTTGTGAAACCATGTGAGGCCTAGATTTCTAGGCACACATTTCTAGGCACACACAGTCATAATGCTTTAAAGGGCAAATGTGCCAGCATTGTTTTTGTACTTTACTTTCTTCTCCTGTGCTAATTCAAAACAAAAATAGTCCTAATTCATTTTTACATGACCATTGTCCAACCTCTTTTGATCCTTTTGAATTAAACATGTTTCTGTCACTGAGCCTTTAAGAGTGAAACATGTAAACTGCCTCTTTTCTGATTGGCTGTCTTGTACTGTGCCACATTCAAAAAGCAGTGCAGGCTGAAACGCTACTTATATCTTCAGTGTGAATGAGTGGGGCTAAACTGCTGTTGGATGAATAGGCAGATGTACATGTTAATGCAGTGTTTTTTGTGACATCACAAAAACAAAGAATTCAACATGAGCTGTTTTTGTACATATTACATGTGAACATCACAATGTTATTTAAATCTTACAATTATAGGTGGAGTAGAATAGTTTAATAAGGATCTATGCAGGCCATCATACATTAAAACTATCCTCCTTGTAAAATTAAAGTTCCTAAATGTTCCTTAGTGTGAACATACGATTGTAGGAAAAAATAACTATTATTGATATAAAACCTTTACACTATGTGGAGATTTTTTGGACTTCTTTAAGCCATATCTCTCACTACAATACCCAGCATGCATTACACAAATATGTAGTATTTGGTATCCCTGTGCCATTCAATCAACCCTGGTCTTGGAGTGCCCCTGCTCTGCACATTTTAGTGTTTTCCCTGTTCTCAAAACACCTGATCCAACTAATCAGCTCATTAACAAGCCCTTCTTGAACTGAGGTTGGTATGTTAGTGCAGGAAAACACAAAAATACACAGAGGTGCCTCAGGACAAGGGTTGAGAACCTGTGGGCTAATAAATGTAGCAAAGCTAGTAAATGCAGCAAAACTTTTTCATAAAACAAAATACAAAATCATAAAGAAAACAGTGATTCTGTCAATATTTAGCACAAAATGGACACCATTTTTTTGCCAGAGAACAGAAGCCAAATTGAAGTGCTCACTCTAAAGCCTGGCACCACTGTTAGATGGCTCTAAGCCTGTTTACAGCAGATGAATTGGTTGTTAAATTTTTTGTGTCCCTTTAGAAGTGTAGGCCACAGACAATGCATGGAAATTCAACAAGTGGTCAGAAAATTGGCCATGGATGTGTGAGACTGTCGAATATGCTTTCATGAGTGATTCATAAGCCCAGTAGTGTAGAGAGTAAATGAGGCCTACAATAAAGCCTACTGTGACCAAACTGCAGTCAAAATAAAACATCATTTGGATGACAAGTTGTCATATTTCTAGAGAGGTTTTGGGAGGGTTAAGCACATTTTCCCTAGAGAATTAATTACACTGGCCACTTCAAAAATAGTTTCATCAACTTGCACACAGAAAGTTTCATGTAATTAGCTGCATTATTTACCAACGCAAGGATCACAAATATACTCTCAGTGACAGCTGACCGCCAACAAGGGCAGATTCATCTTTTTTAAAAGATCATGGACTGTTTCATGCTGAATATTGACACTGTGTTACATTCATGAGAAGGTCTTGAATTTTTAAATGATGGTTACAAAGGCTTCCTGCTGCCATTTTCACAATAATGTAGAATTTTATATAATCATAGAGGGAATAGAATGGAGAGTTATCAAATATTTATACAGACCATTATTGGGCCTTAAAAAGAGTCTTGAAGAAAGAGGTGATTACAGAATCCAGAATTACAGAGCAGATGAAATAGTTTACCATATACATGATACTAAATTCGAAAACATTTAATTATTTCTCTTGGACAGGTGATCTGTTCAGGCGGAGGAGTTTAATTGTGCATCAAAGTGAGCATTCAAAAAGTATCACTTCATAATACCTGTACTTTGCTTTTTTATGTAGCAAATTAAATTCGTTGATGCTTTAAATAGAGCTATGAACAGTCATACTAATATTTATTGGAAACCTAGCATTTATCACAAAATCTAATTTAGACTGAATTAATAGTGAAAATAGTTCTGATAATACTGAAAAGTGCATTAGCTTTGTATACAACTGCATTTGCAGAGCATAACAAAAAGTTTTGTAGAACATATTTTGTAGAAAGAGGTCTGGACAAGGAGACATGGCCCAAAAAACTGCCATCCAAAATAGCTCTCCCTAAATGCCTTCTGTAAACATAAATCCGCCTACTGTATGTTTGCAATGAAAACGTATCCCACGCTTCAACTGCAGACATTGACTAATGTAAATATACTGATTTCAGAATAATTTTTTTCCCGATTAATTTCATTTCAGATGATATGGTGACAATAACCAGCATCCAGTAAAATATCAGCATTCTAATAAATATGACTGTGGCCATATATCTTTTAAATCGAACCTGAAAATACACTGACAAAATTGTACAGTAGAGCCTTAAGACAGACCAGAGGAAACGAAAAGAATGCAATGCAAAAGCTCTTCAGGAAATCAGGAAATCCCACCCTGTCACGGAAATGATGAAGTCAGTGTTATTCCGGAAATAAGAGGAACATTCCAAAGTGAAAACAAACTCAGCCGCTAACAATGAAGATAAATGGTGTAATACTGCTGCCCTGTACAGTCCCATATATGAATATGCTAATATGAAACTGATATGAACCTCTGAAAAATTTCTGCACATATTAACAGCAAAAGTGATAAAAAAGTAATAACGTGCTGTTTAAGACAGTGCTTTCTTTGAAGTGTATGAAAACATTTAAATATATGTAATTATACAGAGTGCACTTTCATTCTGAGGTGGAATACTTAAAGCAGGTAGACAGTCAGTCTCTGAGAACATAAGTTATGCAATGAAAATTCTGTCATGATATAAAGTATTCATGCAGCACGAGAGCAGAGGAAGTATGTGCACATAGGCACCAAAATACTCATCATGTCTGGAATCTGGATTAATATATTATTTTTTAATTAAATTTTTTCAAATATTCAGTTTATATTTTAAGTGAAATCAAATTATGAAACCCAACATTTAATTGGATTGATCATAATAAGGTGTTCTTGAGAGCATTGAGGCTGAAGCTTGCAAACTCACTTATTTAGCCTAGTTAGTTATAGTAGCCTTAAAGGAAAATTCCATTAATTTTTCACAATTTCTGCATAATTTAATGGTCAAGATGTAAACAATATCAGTCAGAGTGGTTTGATGTGAAGTGCTCCATTCTAGAGAATCTTAAAGAGTCAGAATTATTCAATGTGGTGATAGAAAAACAGACATCTGAATCCCCTAAAAGCTCCTTCACAGAAAGTTATTACATGGAATGGGACTGCCTGATGCCCGAGTTATTGTTTTCCAATAGTCTTGAGGTGAGATTTTGGCCCAAAACATATTTTTAAATACACTGATGGTGGACAGGTACATACAAGATGTTGAGGCAAAAGAAAACTTGAAGTGTTTCATTCCAAAAGGCTGTACATCCATTTGTAACAAGATGATGAGTTTTTGAAAAGAAAACCGGCTGACTTGTATGGAAATATACATATGTATTTCTCTAATTAAGGTGGTATTATTCAAAATATCACAGTGATATTTTTGGTATGTGTAAAGCCCACTATCTATGATGTAGATTATGAACCAAAGATTTTTTAAAAAGTGGTCTATGATACATTTTGCAATTAAACCCTTCATTTTCAGATTTACCATTATTTTACCATTACCCTGAGGGACTGTAAATAATTTGGCTATGTTTGTATTGTAGACATCCCGACCCCTGGTTCCTATCATCACCACTGTAAAATGTTTCTATACCATAGACCACATAAAACCAGTCTGAATGGCATTGTTTACGTTTCAATAACTGAATAATGCACAAAATTTGATAAACCCCTTTCACCCCTTTAACTCTTAAAAACAAAGGTTCCTCAGTGGTTCTCAGTTTGGACAAAGAAATCTATTTTGTTAAATACTTTAGAGAATCTAAAGTGGTTCTTTAACATGCCAGTAAACCAGCCAAAGTGTGTTTTATTTTGCAACAGAATATTTTTGTTGGTATTAGATAGAAACCATTAGTGATGTAGGCTTATAAACATTAGCAATGTAGGCTCATAAAACTCTGATGTCTTGTGGTGGACTACTACAAATTTTCAAAGTTAGTTGTTGGATGATAATAGATAGATGATATCAAATATTTATGAAAAAAATCATTTGTCCTCCAGACAAGGACAAAGTTGAAGCTCGGCCCTTTGTGAAAATAGCAACTGTTGTGGTGAAAGTGATAGTGTTCTTCTCCAAAGGGGTCACAGAGAGGAGTGTTCAAAGAGGACCACCTGCGTCTGACTCACACTGGAGAGTCTGGAGGGCCGCAGGGCACCGATGCGGGAGTAAACCTCTGCATCCGAGTGAGGGCTTGGAGGGGTGGTGAAGATGATGGGGTGCGGGGGAGGCTGCGGGGGAGGCAGCAGTGGAGGCGGTGGTGGTGGAGGCGGAGGGAGAGGAATGAGTGGAGGGATGACAGGAGGAGGTGCAGGAACAACAGGTGAAGGTAGAGGAGAAGCCTGAGGGGATGTGTGGGGATCAGGAGGGGGAGGGGTAACCATAGGAGTCACTGCAGGAGGCAGGTCCAGTTGTTTGAGGCTGTAGTGGGCCATGTGGTAGAAGCCAAAGTACTCCAAAGAGTTCCTGGCCTGGGCCATACGCAGCTTATGTCGGAGGAGCAGGATGCGGTAGAGGAGAGCCAAGATGAGGAGTCCAGCCAGAGCCATCAGTACTATGGCAACCTTAAACTCCAAGCCCCAGCAGCCACTGGATCCAGATGAGGTCTTGCAGCCCTGAGAAGATGGAACCCCCGGAGAGGGTTTGTGGTCCATTTTGAGGAGGTTTCCACACCGCTCCACAGGCTGTGAGGAGATCTGCAGTAGTCACTTCTGTGACTAATTCGGTGGGCACAGCCATAGCATAGTCTTCACTATGAAGGGACCTCTCAGCATCTGTTTCTCAAACGCATCTGTGCAGAGAGGTGTCTCTGTAGAGGCAGGTGCAGTCTAACATGGTGGAACATCTGTTTTGATGGAAACGAAACAAAGATTATCAGTTAGAGCTCCATTAGAATACAAGCATCAGAACAGTAACAATAAACTACGACTTACATTGCTGAGTTCTGTTCTGTGCTGGGTGCACTGTGGCAGATTTCAGGCTGGGTTCCACTCTTAAAAATAAAGGTGCCAAAAACAGTTCTTTGGAGCACTGGCTTAGAAGAACTACATTTTCTTCTCTAAATAAACTTTTAGTGAATGGTTCTTTATTGAATTATTTTGTAAATTTTTATTAAATATTATTGATTTTTAAAGAAATACTTTGACAAAAAAAAAAACAAATCTACACATTTTTTCACCTACTTTAGATGCAGTTGATCAGCCAAAACATGCTTGGTGTCCAAATTTTGTTTTTTTTAGTTTTATACTGGAGCTATGAGGCTAACATTGATAAACACTAGAAGTCAATAGTCGCCCAAATCTTTTCAGTAAAAAGACCAAAACTCCTCTCAACCCACTCAAACTGCACCCAGATCTTTATTAAGGTCGCAGAGTTATCAGTGTGGTTTAGGAGAGAGTTTGACTTATTATGAACATTAAAAATGAACAAAACTGAAAAACGAACACATAAATAAATTCACTGGGGTGACCAATCTTTCTCTTTTTTTTAGGACGTGTCCTCTTTTTGGGAACTACACAACATATCCATCCAGGATTCTAAATTGTCTAAAACATCCAGGATTTGTCTTCGCTGTCATGTTGACATTTGCTTTCTAGAGTCTGCCCTGTGCCACCCTTCTGCCCCCAGTGTTCTCTTTTTTGAAAACCAAAATAGGGTCATTGTAAATTTTACACTAAATCATACTGTGCTCCAGATCACGCTGACAAGTCTGTCCAAAATTTATGAAGACGTGGATGCAGTTTGAATGGCTTGAGAGACATTTTGTGGATGTATTTACAGAAAAGATTTGGGTGACTATTAACTTCTAAGGTTTGTTAGGAATTTTAGCTTCATATACCCAGAGCTAAACTAAAGAAACAAGATGTGGACACCAAACATGTTTTGACTGATCAACTTAATCTGGAGTTTAACACTGTGTACATGTTCATGCATTCTTTTAAAGAGCCCCCAAAGTATCTAGAAGTTCTATAATAGTTGAAGTTTTTTTTTTTTTCTAAAAAAACCTTTTCCAAGGCAAGAGCATCTTAGGAACCTTGTATGAGTGTACAATAATGTTTTTTTTTTAATCAGATGTTTTAGAGAAAGTTACATGCAAGTAAAGCAGAGCACATTTTGTATTCATTAAAGCTGCTGAATGAATTAATAAAAGAGTAGACCGATTAGAGACTTACTTTTCTGGGGGTTAATGTTATGCAGCCGTGTCCTTGATGAAGAGAAAGTTCCAAGAAAGTCTGTAATAATCCAGTCCAGAGGCAGGAAAGTACTATGGTTGGGAGGAAACTCAGGGTGGGTTCAGGAAACACAGCAGTTCCTTTTATCAACGTTGCCTGGTGATTGGTCAATATAGTCATCACTATGGATACAGGAAACTGGCAATGGAATGGAATTTAAGAGCAACAAGCAGTTATCAAAGACCTCCAGACCTTCTTTAAAAAGGCACATCTTTTGTTTTATTTACTAGCAATAATCCTTTGGCGTAACTGGCAAACAAGAGCATTTTTGGCAGTTAAGAAAAAAAGATCAAGCTTTTCAACAGTCATGTATGTGAAGCATTCGAGCAGAAATGTACCGTTAATGGCTCTCGCTTAAGAAGCTCCCCATTACTTCCAGAGTTCTGCAAAAACACTGCGTCACAGCAGGTGCTCCCTCTGTTATTATAAAGAAAGGAAAGGTGCATTAAGGCCTCATTTCCTTCAAAGCCATTCTCTGTCAAAAGCAGGGAGGAGGGGTAATTCTTTTCACTGCCATGAGTGGAACACTGCAACTAAGTGGAATTTATAGCCCAGTGTTGGAGAATTCATTAAAGTCAGATAGAACAGAATACACAGGAAAGGATGTTCTGGTTATCAAATGAAGTCAAGCTTCATCTTCATCTGTTTGGTATTGCTAACACACGCAGCAAGGGGAGCGCACAGAGCAGAAGCCTTTCGACTTCACAGTGATCCCAGCCACCTGCAGCTCTCCCCAGAGCAGCACTGAGAGATAAAGATTAAAGCCAGTTCACTGCCAGTCATTAATGCTCACCATGGGACATGAGTCAGTACGTCAGTGTACATACAAGCTGGAAGTGCAAGAACAGCCTGTTTCATCTGAAAGTTACAGCCAATAAAATTGCTATCAAAATGAAAATATATGACACATGTCTGAGCACAGTTAAGCTGTTCTCCTGAGTATAATCCGCCACTGTATTACACCAACTGTTGGACTGCAAAAAAAAAATTATATTTGACATGGAAAAAATGCACTTTAAATCTATTCAGACACTATAATGGCCGTGCAGGGATATTTTTGCATATGTATTTAGATAAGAGTTGGGCTGTCCAAAGGGCAGAATGTCAGTACTAATTCGAGGGTATGTACCTCTGTATTGGGTAAGGCATTTAGGAATACATAAAACCCTCTATCTCCATTTTAAGGGGATCATGATTTAATTCTTGAATTTACTGTCAAAGGATTTACAGTCTGAAAGAATGAAGATGCTGGTACTGACAAAAGGAATTCAAATGGACTGACCACCCCAGAGTCTAAACCTCAACATCACTGAATGTGTTTGAGATCACTTGGATCATGGGAGTCAGAAAATGCAACCAACTTCTAAGACTGAATTCGGAGGTGTGGAAGAATATCCCGGCAGATTTCTTTTAAAGAAATGGACATGTTAAATACTGAAAAAGTGCTATTATATTTAGTTGTTGAGACTTTTGTGTAGTTTTGTTAAATTTGTGTTTTCTGCTTTCTTTCTGATAGGTATTTGGTTGGTTGTGAGCAGTTAAAATACTTCAGTACATTTCAGAATGCATATGGCTGAGGCTATCAGAGTGTTCTTACTTCTTGCCAATCAATACTAAACAGCAGCCTTCTTGTACATACAATAATGGTGCAATGACACACACACACAGACACACACACACCTGTGGGTGCTAGTTGTCCAATAATTTATGGTACCCTGAAATAAGTCAACTGTGTGGTAAAATATACATTACGTTAGTCTTAGGCAGCCAAGAAAACTGTTCAAAGCTATTTATTTCTGGAGTGTTTTTGGCAGTAAAACACTATATGGCTTTGTACATAAATACAAAGGAGCCTAAATACAATAACACATTACAAGATTTTTATGTATTTAAAAAGTTATTAATATATTGGTTTGAAGAATACAGTTAGAAAAAGACAGGTTTTGTTCCTGACTTCTCACTGCACTCCAGCCATTATGGATTTGTTATATTCCATCAACAGAACACTTGATTTAACTTTATAAAAGGTTAATTAGTTGAAGCAAATACTGGATGGTAATGATAAATACCGAGCTTCCTCAAGGAAAGCTTTGAAAATGGGTAAACTAAACCACATTCACACAAGAACAATGTATTTTTCGTTTCTTTAATTGTATTTTTTCTGTAGTTTGCTTAAATGCCGAATGCTTAAAAATGGTACTCAGTTTTGTACAGTACTATATATATTGTTGGAAAAAAACCTTGTATCTCCAAAATGCTAACTTTACAAAAGAAGGAAAAAATATATGTCAACTCTTTACATTGTTGAATGAAGAGTACTTTTCAGAATAGTTATCCAGTGAATAAAGCTGACAATCTTTTAAAGAAACACCATTATAGCTTGTTCAATAACTATTTTAACATTAGAACATGGTGTGTAGTAAACACACTCATTACAAACCCAACAAATGGCTTCTTTACACACCCTGAAGTTCCTGCTAAAGCCTGAGTAGACTGATAAATCAATGTGATGAGCCAGTTATTTATCTCAGTGTTACTGAACTCTAAAAATCATGAGATGATCATACTGAACATTCTCCTCAGCAGTGGACGTGTCATCTTCAGTAATGGACATGTTTATGAGCGTTTCAAGGCATTAAAATCACATAGCTACCCATTTTATATTCCAATTCACAAGATTTTATTTTGAAATATGGCAAATTGTTTGCATACTTCATCAGACAGGCTGTAGTCCTGCTCTAGGGATTGTGGGTGCAGCAGTGGACTGAATCAGAAAAAATGTTGAGAATTTCAGAGCTTCACTGAAATGATGAGCATTTATTTTTTATGAAACATACTAATAGGAGAATTAAATGAAGTATACATGAACTAAGTAAAAATGACAAAAACCAGGTGTTTCTATGTGCCTTATGAAGATGTATTCTAACTGTATACGAGTATGTTACTTTGTTATGTGTTGTAATGGAATATGTTTCCAAATATATTTAGAACAGTGTATTGAGTTTTAATTCTGTCCAACTCTGAGCCAAAATAACAAAAACTGACATTGTGCAAATACTTACAGCTGCTGCATGTGCGTTATTTGGTAAAAACAGTGCTTTAATGTGTTCTCCTGTTCTACTGAGCATCTTGTGAATTCTCTGAGGGCTTTTTACAATGACGGTAAAGGCTATTCAGTGCTTTGATGAGAATGTAATTATGCAGAGGTAGGAATTAGGAAAGCTCTGAACATCCCCTGTAATTGAAGAAATAAATGCGAAGAGAAGATGTATGCATACATGCGAGTAGCATATTTGGCCTGGCTGTTGTATGTTTGGTAAATGACGCTTGAACATTAAACATTCATGAGTTTTTCTATTTAAGAAATTCAGATGAATTTAGCTCTGTTGTGCAGTTGTTTGTGAATGCTTTAGTGTGATTGGCGCTTGAGTTGATGGCTCTATTTCCTGTCCCTGATTGACGCGCGTCACCTCTCTCATCAGAGCCAGAGCCTCAGCTCTGCAGAAGAGCCCCTTCAGCCCCCTTCAACCAGCTGAGACTTCAACCACAGGTGTGTGTGTGTGTGTGTGTGTGTGTGTGTGTGTGTGTATGTGTTCAACTCAAATGATGAAGCACTAGTGTGAGTACTGAGGGAAAAGGTGATAAGTTCCATACCGGAATGTACATCTATGAAGGTGGAGAGAGCGTGTGGGTGGGGAATTAGGGTGCTATGAGTCATGACATATATCAGGCAACATTAAATCTACTCTGATTGACATAGCAGGCAAAACTAATTATCTTATTACCGACTCATAATAAGTGTTAATTTCCACACATCTATTCTGACGTTCTGCAACTTTCAAGCATTTTGAGTTTAAGCATTAAATTGCTTTATGTCTCTCTCCAATTTAATTAATGACTGAAGCAGACTGCTAAAAAGGAAAGAGAAAAAAAGAGGGGAGAAATAGACATTTTTAAAGTGCAAAAGGGCTCATGAAAACTAATTATTTCATTATCTTAAGTGAAGAGGATTTGAAATCTCTAACGGGTTCATTTACTACATTATTCTTGCCTTTTATTTACTTGCTGTGAGTCACGTATGATGTTTGTGTTGGTTTAGGCACCAAAAACTGTCATAATTAATTTTTCATGACCTTTCTTCAACCTTTCTTAATCATTTATGCTGGCTTTACACAGTGAAACTTTCATGCAACTTTAGTAACTTGAAACCTACTAGAAACCGCATTGCATTTGAGTGGCATACTATAAATTATCATGCAACTTACTTGAAACTCAAGTGCAACAGCTGCAAGCATCTCAATTGCGTGAAAAAAGGTTCATGAAACGGCCAATCAAAATGCTTTTTACACATCACATGATCATGTCCACCAACATTCTTTGAAATAATTGAGTTCAATGGACAAGAAAATAAAACAGAAGATAGCTTATTGGGCAGTTGAAAAGGAGACTCCCACTCCCCCCCAGCTGTCTCTGGTTGAGCCATATAACCAGCTGTGTTAACTAGACAGTGAACATCTTCTGAAATGGTTGCTTGCGACAGAATTTATTATTCTTTAGCTTGCTGTTCTCATGATTTACATAGCTAGATTATTTCCTTCCCTTTTTAGGTTTACAGTGTTAAGATTCATTTGGGATACAAATGATGAAAATTATTACAGAAGGGGCGACCAAGATGCACTCCTCAATGATTTTCGTGTGCTTCTATGACAGGATGAGTGAGACATCAAGTAGGCTATAACCATAACGCCAACTTAAGGTTTAATGCAATCTCAATGGATAAAAACTCAAATATAAGACAGCACCAGACAGATATATAAAAGAAAAATATATAGATATAGAAAAGAAAGAACAACAATGATAACTGGAACAAAAACATTCAAAGATGACAAAAATGCTGCAAACATGTAAATTATGCAGCAAGAACAATACAGTATATCAAAAATACAAGTTAAATTAATAAGTTACAATTAAAAATGAGATTGTCTTTACTGACTTTTTCATTTT